CTGAATGTGATGCAGTATCTTTTCAATTTAATTCTTTCCAACATTTTTAGGAAATTGAAACTGGATTGTAAAGATTTTTTTACCAACTGGCATTTCTCTGTCTAAATTCTCTAAAGTGAAAAAATGAGAATGTTCTGTAATGTTACTAGATTTCCATAGGCGTTAGGCAAATAAAACTACTGAATTTAAATTCATTTCTTCAGGCCTACAAAATTACAAATCCAGATTATTTGTGTGTTTTTTAAGAATTATTGCACATACGGGTCATACATGTACATGTACATGTACGTACTAAATTTTGACAGATTCACTGGTACACTGCACTTTATATTCTGTGTGTGGCCCACAAAAGTAGGCCCATCTTCTGAATGAACGTGACTTCTTTTGCGAGCATTTCCATGTAGACGATGAATGGTCGACTAGACCGTGATGCACTGTGCCACACACCCGCACATTTAATATTGAAACATTAATTTTCTATTTTTAATGCGTTCTGGAGAAGCCCTCCCGCCAGAAGTGATCATCACCTCCATACTGAAGTTGAAGTCTCCAGCTATTAAACTTGTAAATCACCATCCGCTACTCTGTACTCCCTGGAGTCATCCTCTCCTCAGGATCCATTCCGAGGCCTGTTCTCATCAGCTCAAGTTAGCCAAATCAAATAACCCACTATTTTCAGACTTGGGATATTATTCCGAAGCTCGAAATTGCGTCTTCACCAGACCGACACACCCATTATAAATTAGCTCGGACAGGCACAAATTATCCCACCATTACCCAAATAGCGGGATATTTGCAGTAGGAGACAAGACCAAGATTTCTCTGGATATTTTCTCAACCAAATATCCCGCTAATTGCAACTGCAGGCTGATGAAGAGGCAAACTAACTGGCTAATTTGTGATCGGGATAGTTACCGTTAAACCCACTAATTGCAACTGTGGGCTGATGAAGACGCAAATTAGCTGGCTAATTTGCGATCGGGATAGTTAAACTAGCGGGTTATTTGGCATTGAACTCGAGCTAGTGAAAACAGGCCTATTGTCTCCTCAGGATCCATTTTGAGGTGACACTCTCAGGAGTGCCAGATCTTGCCAGCTGCGAGCAAGAAGTAATAATTCATGGAGTCACGCGCATTATTCAGTGCTATACTCTTTCAGTCATATAATCTTCAGCTATAGCACGTCTGATATATGGATGTCATCATTGCATACCTATAAGTGTTGAAGTGTGATAGCAAACGATGGGTGTTATTTCCAACAACAAAATAAAGATTTTGACTGAAATTTGTTTCTGTTAATCCAATAAACCTATGGTACTTTGGCCTGCTTGCACCTTTTTATTTTTGCAGGCATCTACTTCTTATTTAGATCAATGAATAAACCACCAGGGCTGAAGAAATTGGATTTGACGCTGAGATATTGCAATTCAGTGATATTTTACAGGATTACCAATTACATGTACATCCTTCCAATAAAATACTAACGGAGAGCAATAAAGTGTATCTTTAAACTCAAACTATATATGAGATTGCATTTTGCAACAACAAAAATTTCAAATACATGTAGGCAAATCTTCTAAGGGGAAATAGTGATTTTATTTCAAATTCATAATCATAACCTGTTACCTGAATTAAAATGCTTATGTTTGTAGTATTCAATTGTGCAACCAAAAATGGACATAAATAATTTGCTGTGATTCTGGGCTGGCTCTTTCTGATAACTTTGACAAAAATAATCTAATAATCTTCTAAGTGATTTTCATGAGACCCTACAGTTTATTCAGGAACATTGGAGTGGCATAGAGGATTAGTGAATTATATTTTAATTATAAAGAAATTTCACTATGCACAAATGTTACATGTACATGCGATTGGAAGGTATATGATCATGTGATGTTGGCATCTTGTAAAATGTGTAGATAATGATTTTAATGAGGGAGTTACTTACACGTACTGTACAGAACCATCTATACACAGAGTTTGGCTTACCCGGTTTGTGTTGGTCACAATATGGCGACTACTGCTTTGTTGGGCAAGCACAAAACACAAGAATATATGCCATGTTGTGACCCAGTGAAACCATGTTGGCCAAATTCTCCTAATCAATGGCACTGGTACTGTACATACATGTACATTTATCCACAGTACGAATGACCTGTTACACCCATGTATCCTCACCTTGCTTAATTGGAAAGTACACTTTTCAAATTGCTCAATGAGCCGAGGAGGAGAATCATGTGTTTCACAGATCCCTGCATTATTTTCTGGACTAGCATTTATCCTATTAACCTTGCCTGACTTGATTTCTATGGACAACCAAATTAGTTGATGCGATGGAAGTAAAACCCTCAGCTAATTGTATCCTGGAGTGATACCGGAACCTTAAATGTAGCAAAGTGTTTCTATGATAAAGGATTATAAACAAATATAGTTTTACAAAACCAAACAAAATGTATTGTAAATTTACAAAGACATAGGATTTAGGACAGAAAAAAGGCAAGTTGGTTTTGGGGATTTGTTTAATAAGTGTAGGACTGTCTTGGATCTGTAACTAGATCTTACATGTACTTTTATTGTTGGAGCAGAATTTGAAAACTGTTAAGTTTCTGAATAAGATGGGAATCGAACTTGAACGTTCTAGTAAGCTTTTCTATGTTATCTAAAATCTGAATTGTTGCTATGGTTATGATGTTTTCTCATTAAAGGTAAAGACCAGTATTGGAAACGCCCCAATTTCAAAAAATGAAATGGAAGCTCTCATTACCAATCATGTGAAAGAATATGTTTTGACTAATACATGATGACAACAAATTTGCCGGGAAACCGCCTACTAATTCATATATTTGGTAAATTTGTTTCTCTCATGGTCTGTGAGAGATATAGGGTAGTCCCATATACATCTTTCTGTGTATAGTGCTTGTAACTTTATGAAGAATGGGCCAAATTTCTTATTATTTTGATGATTCCAGAACCTTGCAGATGCTAGATGCTAGATGGTCAACCTTTTCTGATCGATTCCACAACGTTTCTTTCACAATGCAATCGCATGACCATAACTGGTCTTTACCTTTAAGATGAATGCAAAAAAATAATCTGTATTTGCATCAATAACCAGTGTATACAAAGACATGTGAAAAAGGAGATACATACATGTAGGAGACATGGCTCCAAAGGCACAGCTTGACTTTGGTCAGGAATTCAGGATGGTACGTCCAAATTTATAACAGGACTACAAAGTGTTCAAAATGACTTGCATTTGATTGAGAATTGGTCGTACATTACATGGTTTCTGTTCAGAGCCAGAAGGTTGTTTATTTACTCTGTGTTAAAATACATGCTGAGTTGTACGGTATATGAGTTAACGCCCTTCTGGCTCCAAACAGACGATGTGACATTTCTTTTACATTTGCAATCTAGACCTACATGTACATGTACCTCCAAACCCCTTCAAGCAACATGTGTGCAACCTTGTGCTGTGCCAGGCTTAAGGGGGTTGGTATCAGATAATTTGATTATTAGGCTTTAATTGGATACAGAAGGAGGGGCGTTTATATATAACCCAGTGCTTCGCTACACAGAAAACAATGTTTTGGCCTGTAGACACGTTAGACTTGCAAGCCAATGCCAGGCTTGCAGTACTTACAGAATGATTTCAAAGCTGCAATTTGTGATTACTTCTTATGTAGTAATGTGTAGTGATTTTGTTCTTCCATTTCCTTGGTGGCATATTGCTCACTCATTCCCTCCACTTATCAAATTTTATTGCAAAACATGCTTTTCAGTTTTCAATGTACATAAATTATTATATTGAAGACCTTTCAGGCTTGTACACCTGTACAGTGTGTACGTAAATTTATATCACAACTATGGTTGCTTGTGGTTTTATAGATGTTTTATTATCTATTTTTGTTATATACGACATATTAAAAAAAATGATTGGTGACTAGATTTGTGATAATAAACCTGTTTAGTGCTTATACTACAGCTAATCACAAGATATATTTATAAAAGGTGAAGTACCTGCCATTGCGTCTTACTCTTTGGTCAATATCTCTTGAATTTCCCTTGTAAACCCCTTCCTATATTGCTCTCTTTAATATTAGATATTTTTAAGGCAGTTATTTTGGTGTAGCTATGCAGTCAACTAACTTGAACTACAGACCCATGCACTTCCCCTGCTGTGGTTGTGATGCTCCCTCTGTGAGTCTCCCGGGAAGATTAATATATAGAATGAAGCCAAGTGCAACCTTGTGTTTATGCTATGCCTCTAATGATGCTGGTTTTAACCAGTCTAATTGGTATGTTTGAAAGCAGATGTGGCAATATTACCACATGCCGTTCCACATGTATGTTATTTAAAGGCAGATAAACATGTGAACATGCCATCAAATAAATTTGATTGATTTATTTATTTGATTTTATGTGTAGTTTTGTATCTTCAAAAATGTAATCAAGCTCTCAGTTTATCAAGTAATTAGGATTCATATATTCTTTTTAATATGATCATGATGAATATCCTTCTTTGCCATCATCCTCTTATTTTCTTTGCCATCATCCTCTTATTTTCTTTAAATGTTTTCCTGTTATTGTTTTCAAGATATTTTTGTCTTCATCCTAAATCTCATCTTGTTTAGTATTTCAATTTTTACATTTTGCAAGGCACATGGTTTTCTTCTCTTAATCATACTTTCCAATACTAAATTTGTTTTTGTTTCCAAGACATGTTTGTCTTCATCCTACATTTTGTCATCATTTTTTGTTTAAATTTCAATTTCTGCATTTTGCAAGTCGCCTGTTTTGTTCTTCATCCTACTTTTATTACTTCAAAATCTTCATTTATTAATACGGTCGGGCATCCTTTCTTTAGTTTCATCGACTCCGTAATCACTCCTCTCCTCTCTTCTCTATTACCCTCTGATTTATCATTTTTGTTGTGGTTGGGGATAGAGTATCCGATGATGATGATAACGTAACCCATCTTCTCCCTCATAATTATTGCAGGAGAGACATGCAACCAAGCACTTGGAATGGAATCAGGGGCCATATCTGACTCGATGATTACAGCCTCCAGCAGTTTCAGTGATCGTCGGAGCCCTCGCTATGCACGTCTCCACCAGCGAGATGGTGAGTACACCCAGTACATGGCAATCTACACTGCACAATTTGTCTTCCCACATAGCTTCCAGCTCATTTTCCTTTTCCACATATTAATCTCTTCAGGGAAAAAAAGGAAAAGTTATTAAAATAATCCCAGACTATTCCCAGTGTGTGCGTGGGCTGTGTATGCTAGGAATGAGATCTTAGTAATGTGAACTTTATATCTGTGTTTTCATTTATAGTAGCAGATGTTTGAATAGGTAAATATTGGAAATATAATCCCTTTTCTCTGTTGTTAATGAAAGGATAATTAAACATGCAAAGAGGGAGCTTAGAAAGTTAGAAAAATGTTTCCAGTAAGGGAACACAATCCTGAAGACTTTTAGAAAATAAACCAGACATTACACTGGCATATTACATGCAGTGTGCATGTATATTTATACTGATTTCATTTCTAATGAAAATACAATAGGATAATGAAATTGCCTTTTAGTTACTGTAATTACATGAAAGATTTAGTAATCATAACGTAAAAAAATATTAATTTATGAATACAATTTTCTTTGCGAGTACAAAGAATGGAATGATGTTAAGAAATTAAATCATAAAGATGCCAATTGATATTTGATTGATCACAACTTTAAACCTTTTTAGGTTTGATTTTAAAGTTTTACTGATTTTTATGCCTCCGCCACCGAAGGTGGTGCCGGAGGCATCATGTTTTCGGGTTGTCCGTCCGTACGTCCGTACGTCCGTCCGTACGTCCGTACGTCCGTCCGTACGTCCGTCCGTCCGTCCGTACGTCCGTCCGTCCGTCCCGTTTGACCGTTATCACAATATCTCAAGAACCATTTAAGATTTAAACTTAAGACTCGGGAATAGTATTTATCACCATAGGAAGACGATCTGATTAGATTTTGGAGTACGTAGGTCAAAGGTCACAGGTCACAGAGGTCAACTTATGAAATTCCTTGTATTGAGTTTGTTAGCGCGATATCTCAAGAACCATTTGAGATTTAAACTTAAAACTTAAGGATAGTATGTATCACCATAGGAAGACGATCTGATTAGATTTTGGAGCACGTATGTCAAAGGTCAAGGGTCACAGAGGTCAACTTATGAAATTCCATACATTGAGATTGTTATCATGATATCTCAAGAACCACTGGAGATTTAAACTTCAAACTTAGTGATAGTGTGTATCACTATAGGAAAACAATCTGATTACATTTTGGAGCACGTAGGTCAAAGGTCAAAGGTCACAGGGCTCATTATGTATGCAAAAACAGCTTGTGATCGCGTTATCTGAACAACCGATTGATGGATTCCTACCAAACTTTGGTCATGTATGTATCTTGCAGAGCTGATGAACTGATTAGATTTTGGGGTCACGAGGTCAAAGGTCAAAGGTCGCAGGGCTCATTATGTATGCAAAAACAGCTTGTGATCGCGTTATCTGAAGAACCGATTGATGGATTCCTGCCAAACTTTGGTCATGTATGTATCTTGCAAAGCCAATGAACTGATTAGATTTTGGGGTCACGAGGTCAAAGGTCACAGCGCACATTATGTATGCAAAAACAGCTCGTGATCGCGTTATCTGAACAACCGATTGATGGATTCCTGCCAAACTTTGGTCATGTATGTTACTTGCAGAGCTGATGAACTGATTAGATTTTGGGGTCATGAGGTAAAGGTCAAGGTCATGCGGCTCATTATGTATGCAAAAATAGCTTGTGATCGTATTATCATTAGAACAGATTGATGGATTCCTGCCAAACTTAGATCATTTATGTATCTTGCAGAGCCAATGAATGGTTCATAAGATCAAAGGTCATGGGCTCATTATGTATGCAAAAATAGCTTGTGGACGCATTCTCATTAGAACTGACAGATGGATTACTATTTAACTCAGGAAATCTTGCAGAGCCAATGAACTGAGTGATAGTGTGTATCACTATAGGAAAACAATCTGATTACATTTTGGAGCACGTAGGTCATGAGGTCAAAGATCAAAGGGTCATATATGTTTATGAGAAATTGCTTGTAATCAAGATATTCTGAGAACATGTTAATGGATTACAATTGAACTTGAATTTGAAAAATTTCTTCCGTTTCGGTTTGTAAAATTGCTCTATGACGGAGGCATCATTTTCGACTGCGCGCAGTCGAATTCCATCTAGTTTTTCTTATATGGACTTTTTATACAATTACTTAATCAATACATCAACAGAACAGTGTGTATGTATATCATTAAAAAGCTTTTTGTGCATTATTATTAGATATTGAATAGAACAGAAACGATTGCAGAAAAAAGTTTCATGGCTTGATGTAATGAAAATCCTCCAGACTTTTGTGAAATGTCAGTGCTTTACTGCTTTGGTTTCTGAATGTCAGTTGTCATGGGCAGAATTAAGGGATCTACATGTACAGTATGACTAACAAATCCTGAAGTTTGTAGATTTATTTATACTCCGATGAATCTTGCTTGGGGCATCTTCTTTGGATTTTGCTGAAGTTTTTTCTCAAACTCTCCCATTTTTAGTCGGTTACAAAAGTGATTGCTTATAATCGTAAGTGGTCTTTCACCACACATGACTACACATATCTGCAATAAAATCCCTTTAGTGTGAAGAAAAAGTGTTTTTATGTAATTTGAGATTCATGCAAAAAAAAAAAATTAATTTTGTTTTTTACCCAAACCTCAGTTTCCCTCCATGTACCGGTATACAGTATGAAGCACAGAAGTCCACAAATTTGAATGTTCTATTTGTCCAGCTAGATCAAATAAACCTGACTTAATGTATGTTGTCCTATTAAATGTATTTTGAGGAAATTATCAGTTCGGTCTGGTACCAATTACACATTACATACACTGTACAGTAGGTGGGCAAATTAAAACACATTTTTCACTGAATCTACAAAACCAGAATGTCATTTTAGTTTCAGAATGTGCTAGTAATTACATTAAACTTTTAAGCCAAAACTAATTGGTGGCATTAATGTACTGTATGTGTACATTATATAATCAGTTAAACATAGATGGCTAAACAAATTTAAAGTTGATTATAATAACAACACTCCTGTGTGTTCATCTTTGTAAATGAACCAATTAGCTAAACAAGACAAACAAGTAGCTCTAATTGGATGGGGGTTAGTTCTGCTTCGTCGATGGAATTGATTGTGTTAAGTAAAGATGGTCATTGTACTCTCAAAGCAGCAGATGCTTAGAACTGTTACATGCCCTAATGCCCACTCTGTGTCATGAATAATTAGTCTCATATGATAATCACGAGTTGTGAAACTATGAAGGTAATTATTCATTAGGTGAATGAATCTGATTACCGTATCTCTCATAATGAAGAGAAATTCAGTTGATTTCAAATTTTGATATCCTTTGTTTGGGTATCAGGTAATATATGTGTATACAGGTAGAAGTTTTCTTCCTTTTTCCTGTTGGCCAAATAACAAAAATGAAGTATTTCTTGTCCCTGCCTGCCTCCTTTTTTTGTTTACTATTTACTTTTCAGGAAAAAAATAGCTAGTGATATACATTTTGTTTAAAGGGATCCAGTAACTTTGTCTTAGATCCTTTAGAAATAATCCTTGATTTAAGCCCCAGTCCCATATAAAGCCGGACCAGCACGGACGAGCACGGACCACTCCGGACCATCCCGGACCATGGTCTGGGGTGATCCGGGATGGTCCGGGATGTTTTGTTCAAAAAAGTGTGATGCTTTAAAAGCTACAGTCCCATATACGTCCCGGACCGTCCCGGACCATCCCGGACCCCATCCGGGGTGATCCGGGATTCGGTCCGTGTTGACACCGTGTTGGCACCGGGGTGGTCCTGGATGGTCCTGGGTGGTCCTGGATGGTCCTGGGCGGTCAATAACTCACTCCCGGACTGCCACGGATCAACACGGACCGCCCCGGCGCCACTACGGATGACCCCGGACCCAGCACGGTGGCTACACGGATCACCCCGGATCAAACTTTTGTCCCGGACCGTCCCGGACCACCCCGGCAGTTTTTGACCGTCAAAAACATCCGGGGTCGACTCCCGGACCGCCCAGGACCATCCAGGACCATCCAGGACCACCCCGGTGCCAACACGGTGTCAACACGGACCGAATCCCGGATCACCCCAGATGGGGTCCGGGATGGTCCGGGACGGTCCGGGACGTATATGGGACTGTAGCTTTAGCTCATGCTGCAATGATAATTATAAACCTTTAGGTCAGTCAGGAACTCCATGATTTTTACAAGCTGTCTGATTATCAAGATATTAATGATTGGAATTACAAGTTTTGAAAACCGTTTGCCGGACGGTTTTCATAACACTACAGCCTATTGGGGAAAATGAGTATGGTAAAACTGGTCACTCAAAGATTTTAAACTTTTTTGAGGCACTTCTTGATCATTTTGAAGCGCGATTTTTTTTTAGGGCTTCAATATTACACCATATCACAGACACTGGTAACATGTAGACCGTGTATCTCAGATTTAACATTGTTAAACGATCCCTTTAAATAGCTTCTAAAGTGAAACAAATCATTTGTTTTGTTATACATTGCATCAATATACTCACAGCTATAATTAGCATGGCAGCCATCTTGAAAAAAATAGCAAAATAGTAATGCCCTGCCTCCTTTTTTAAAAGTCCGGACGAGAAACACATTATTTTTATTATTTGGCCTTATTGAGTATGAGTTTTGAGTTTCATAATATTCTAGAGTTTTTCAGGTACACCCTGTACATACATGTAAAGGCTACAGTTTATAATGCAGATCCCTTCTTGTCTCATCGGTTTCAGTATGGTAATAAAAAACAGCTCTTCCTTTCAAGTTCCAAATCCCCTATTTCGCTGCAACACTTCTTGAAAGTGGGAAAGTGGCTGGATCGATGCTGTTATCACAGACTCCCCCCAAATCAATATCAATTTGAGCAGTGTTTTGGGATGAGCAGAATGGTGTTTTGGAATTGATCTTAATGGCTCATTTCTGTTTACGATAGTTGGTATGTTGTTTTGAGATGAAATGATCCTTATCCTATAGATAGAAGTGGTGACTGGTGTTTTTATTCATTCCTATACATGGATTGTGAGCAGTGTTTTGGGCTGAGCAGAATGGTGTTTTGGAATTGATATTAATGGGCCTTTTCTGTTTATGATAGTTGGTTCATCAACTTCACTGTATGTCGTTTTGAGATGAAATGATCTTTATCCTATAGAAGTGGTGACTGGTGTTTTTAAGTCATTCCTATACATGGAGATCTACATGTATACATGTACAATGCCAAAGCAAGGGAACAATTTTCAATTATACATGTATACGGTAGTCAGTCTAAGGAGGTTGGTGTTGTACAGTATGAAATGAAGAAAAGGGAAATATGGTGTGTGTGTTTTTGCGGGTGTGTGTGTGTGTGTGTACCGATAATTGTTTGACTTAGGAGATACAATGTGTACTTGTATGATTATCCAATGGACGGACATCTGACACCACATGATTGATTGAAGGGATGAAGATGATGAGATGATGCAGACTAATTGGAGGAGGTGACGGTGCTTCTCAGCCTTTTCCAGCAATGATTGATAGTGGCACGTGTGTTACATGCTTGCTTTGTACATCATACTAAATGACTGCTGTATATATGCTTGTGTGTCCTACAGTGTTGTATACTCACTCGAAAACATGCATACTAGCCTATCTAAAGTATGCAACTATTGCTCTTTTAGTCTTGTTACTATGGAGGGAATTATTCATACCTGCAAAAATTTGCCTTGAAATACAACACTCTGTAATTGATTTGTCCTGAATAAGAAGTGTAATAGACAAAATGCATTAAAATGTTCAGACATTGAATATCATTATCGGAATGTGGTGGGTGGAATCTTAAACCAGTGCCCCTGTTTTTATATTATATTTTACTTACTGCTAAACTTATAACTGCAAAGTAATAAAGAAGACATGTATACAAGAAGGTGCTGAGAAAAGGAGCAATATCATTGAAAAAGGCAAAATCTTACTTCCTTTCAATTATTATTTCTTTTTTCATCTATAATCTTTTTTACAGGTGACTGGTGAGGCTAAAAAGAAAAAGAAAAATACAAAATTGGATTAGTCAATCAAAAACAAGGGCCTATGTACATGTACATGTGCATTGGTACAGTGTTCAATGATCAGTGAAAACTGTGTTGTCTTTTCAGGGCTCATTTCTTTTCTAGAATGTATCAATCCATTTTGGAGACAGCCTAATGAATAGCGTACTTCCTCTTTCTTTGACAAGCTAATGCAGCGGTAAAGCCCCATCTCACCGAAGGTTAACGATGGGTTCAGTATTCTAATGGGTACAATATTGCTTTTCTGAATAGTTTAGATGACTCTCCTTCAATCTAAAGCAAGTTTGCTTTCAGTTCAATACCAGGCTCTCATTGCATTTTCATTATATCTTTATTTGGTGATAACAAGATTATGATGTTCTTTTCGGACGGCTTCACTCTAGAGAAAGTACTGTGTCACCCTTTTTATTTCCATCAGTATGTTCATGTTTGTGAAGAGCTACTGCATGTTTTTTTTCCCGTCCACAGCTCTTTGAACAAGTGTTTAAATACAATGTAGCTTCCAAAGGAGTTCAAGAGTAAACTTCTGTACAGTTTAATACATGTACATGTACATGTAGTTGTACACATTGTACTGCAAGGTTCAGGAATCATCAAAATGATAAGAAATTTGGTAAAGTCTTGGTAAAGTTACAAGCACTGTACACAGAAAGATGTATGTGGGACTACGCGACACATGATATCTATCCGGTCAAGATAGATATAATAATTTAACAAATATATCAAATAGTAGGCGGTTTCCCGGCAAAATTTGTATCGTCACATATTAGTCAAAACATTCTTTCACATGATTGGTAATAAGAGCTTCCATTTCATTTTTCGAGAGGGGGCCGTTTCCAAAACTGGTCTTTACCTTTAAGTTTCCTTACAAAAATTTAGGGGTCCTTTGAAGTTTGAGTGTAATCAAAAGCTGTTCAAGACTATTCACCATGTGCATGTACATGTAGGCCCTTCTTGTAATTTAATTCTGACTTCATTTTGTATGCACAGCTGATAACGTTGTTACATGTAGCACTTATGATGAAAATTTTGCCCAATTTTAGAATGCAGGTGTGATTTAGGTTAACACTATTTGGTGATGCTGCCTGGTCAAACAGAATGTCAAGATGAGAAAGGTTACCATCAAAAACCAAACAGAATTCGATTTTGATTGTTTGATTAGTACTATTCGTTTCATGACGAGTGTTCGCTATGGTGGGGGGGGGGGGTAAAGAAAGAATTTTAGAAGGCTTAGAGTTAGACATTTAAGTAAACAATATATTAAACTGGAAAATGATTTTTTTTTTTTTTTGAACTTTTGAATTTTTGAATTTTAAATAATAATAATTTGGGAGTATGAAAGTTTCATTTCCAGTGAGTATGACATACATGACTGCCTACATGTACTGTATGCACTTTGTAAGAAAGAAAAACAAATTCTCTAAATTATCACATTTGGTTCCAATCGTTCCATGCAATGAAGGATTTGTCATTAAATTCGGAATTATGCATGAGTACATCATTGTACTCGTATGATAGAGCTCAGTCAACGTTTTCTTCTCATTAGGAAATACAGACATTTTAAGAAAAAAATATATCTGATGTAATATGAAAATATTTGGCATGAAGTATCGTAGGTTGTATCGGCAATTTAAGAGGACATTTTTGTTTGATGGCTATCAACAAGACATGTCAGTGTGTTGAGGAGTATGTTCATTTCACATACAGTGTACATACATATTTACTTTCATCCTTTTCTGCTAAAAATAAATTACGTTCCCTGGCAGAAGGTACATGGCGTTGTCCTTGCTCGGTCTTCCATTCTCGCGTTTCTAATTGCACGTTTCTCTGTTCCTATTTGCTCTCCTGTCTGACAGGCGATGGTGGATGGACAGCCAACCCAAACGACGAGGACTCGGCGCCAAGTCTGACGATAGACCTGGGACACAGGGCCAGGGTAGTTGCCGTGGCAACGCAAGGTCGATACAACAGCAATGAGTTTGTGAAAGCTTTTAAGTTGGCGTACGGTGATGATGGAGAAAATTGGGTCTTTGCCCTAGAAAACCAAGCGGAAAAGGTAAGAGCCATACCTTCATGACTGACATATTAATTGTCATGCATGCAAATAATCAGCACTGTGTTTTAATTAGAAAATTCTAAATCATTTTGTTAGAGAGTAAATGTGTCGATACGTACGATACACCTGAATTACTCAAGTTTTAATTGTTATGAATTAGATAACTTGAAGGTTCAACAAGTGATTTAATGAAAGGCAAAATACAGGATTATAGAACTTTAAAATTTCATTTCAAATGCGTACCTGTAATCATTTAAGAACCATGCCCAAAAATGATTTAATAGATAGATTTGTAACAGTGTAAAGCTACAAGCTGAGTTTTAAAAAATTGTTTTAATGCTTAAACATATAACACGAAAAGTAAATCATAATTTGTCATAACCTCAGTTAAATATTATGAGAAATAATTAGACATGAGATCTAACACTGTCCCATGGACAGTTTCAAATATAACCTGATATTGAAATTAGGAACACTTGTGTATGGGCACATTCTAAGAGTCTTTACAATGATCACACTTGTTGGTTAAATGGCACTGTATGGTTAAGGATTAAATTAGACACTGGACAAAATATCATTTCCTGTCTACTTGTATCTGAAGATGTAATGGTTTTCGATTTTTTTTTTCTCCCTTAAATCATATATTTTTGTACATGATTCACTCTCCTCTTCAAGTCCACAAGTCTTGAATGTAGTTTCATAACTCTATGATCAACCTGTACATGTAGGGCCCATTCATCTATTTTTTAATTGATATCAGTTGGTTGGCAGTTTTTTAATCAAATGGTTGTTCACTTTTAATCCAATTTTTTTATAGACTCATATATGAGCCTTAATAATTAATTCAACGCTCTGCATGACCGATTCTAGCTGGAATTCTATTTCCCCGCTAAAAAAGTGGCAGATGGTTTGAAAGCGGGATGATAGTAGGAGTTAGTAAAGATACAGGTAGAGTGGTTTGATATAAACAGGGATGGTAATAAAGAGTGAGAGAACCTGTTTAAGCAGAATATATCATGTTTGCAAATATATATTGTCTGTAAAACAATGCCAGATTTTATCTTCCGAGCATGGAGGATAAAAAGTTTGCATAAAGTATGTGATTGTTAAAAAAAAAATAAAAAAAAAATCTGTTTGAAAGGAGGATTCATTTAGAGCAGTGATTAATACAATGATTCTACTTTTTTGCCAGTGCTCATCTCTCTCAACTCTCATGACTAACAGATTATGACAATAAGTATGGTGATGAAAGCATTGACATTTCAAATATGCAATGTTCTTGGCAGCAAATTTCACATTTGCATTTTATACCTTAATACATATGCACATGTAAATTTTTCTTCTGTTGTAAACGTGAAAGCAGCCATTTCTTGCCAGGATGATAATTTCAATTGCCTATTCCTACTCTCTAAAAGATGATTTATTTGCCTTACTATTTGACCAAAGCCCTGACAAAGTTTGACAGAAGCCCTGTCCATTTACACAAATATTGCGATACATCTCAAAGTACAAGTATGAAAATGTGATTGTGTATGGGGATTGAAGAACCAATTTCTTGACCACCATTCATATTGCACTGTAATACCACGGTATTTAGGTTTGTCTTCTGAATACCCAATATTGCAATATCAAATCTTCACAAGTTCGTCATTACTTCTCACACAAGTTTGTGTGCCATGAATGGTTGATAACTCTTATCTCTGTAACAATTGAATATCAGCTTTCTTGGAAAATGATAGTCCAAAAGTTTACAACTTTTTTTAAAGGTTCCTTTAAAGTTTAAGGAAAGCAGGAAAAAAACAGAGGAATAGGTTTTTGAACATTTAAACAATATTGGATGAATATGAAGAAAATAATTTTCACGTATTTGTCACTGTGATGTATTACCAGACAACTCTTTCACTGTTCCCTGCTTACCCCCAAAAAATAGATAATAAATTCATTAAATTTATTTTGATGACATTTCGTAATTCTACTGAGTAGGATTTTTTGTTGTTGATTGGATTACGGTACATATAACATGCAATCCGCAATATTACTAAGTACAGCCCAAAGGCAAAATATACTGGGAGAGAACAGAAAAATAATATTTTAGTGGACAACAAATTGGACAGTTGTCCCCAGTTACGTTACAGTTGAATGACCAAATAACCAATTTGACACACCAACACAGTCAGTGAATAATGATCTCAATTTTCAAATACTCACATCTCTCTTGTGTAGTTTATTTAATTTTGTTTGAACAATCTATTTTTATTATTTTTTGGTTGGCTTCCATCAAAGCTTCATCGTTGGATTGCCCTTTTAATAACCAAATCTCCTACAATGTATGTTGAAGGTTCATAATTATGTACCAATGCTCATGCATACAGCATATATATGCAGGATTAAAAGTACATTGTTTCGAGGTCAGAATTTATAGAACTAACTTGTAAACTCCTAATACACTCAACAATATTGTACTTATTTCATGTGGTATCTTTTTTTCACCTTGATGTAGACTTTCCAAGCCAACGCCAACAGTGATGATGTCATAAAGACGACGTTACCAGAACCCGTGGAAGGCCGTTATATTCGCTTCATGCCAACAAGCTATGAAAGCATGATTTCGATGAGGGTAGAACTATATGGATGTTTAATGGGTACGTACATGTAGCTCAATTTTCCTCTATGGCATTCAATCTGACCGAGTGTATAAAGATATTTATGTATTGTGATATTGAATTTTGATTCTGAGCATCACAATAAACCTTTGTTGATATTTATATTCAATTTCTTTATTTTTGTGAGGTGCTCAAAGAATATTTTTTTGAAATTTATTACATTTTGGGGGAAATTCATACTCGCATGTAGTGTTAATAGGCAAATGTACTATACATGTACAGTATGTGTGTAAATTAAAAATTATATTTCTGTGTAAATATTCTGTCTTTCAACATAATACAGAAGTTATTCATTCTTTTTAATGTTATTTTTTAACTTGTTACCATTTATATTTGGGCGATTTCAGTGTGATGCATCCCAGACGACACGTCATATTTTTCCATATATTTCATCCATGAACAAAAAATCTCTTGATTTGAATATGACTCTGTTGGAATTGAATTGAATTGACTGCTAGTAGTGATATCAGATATCACCATTTATCAATGATTATATTAATAGATTTTTCATATGTGGCAAAAAGACTATAGGACACATTGCGTAGAATCATCTATTTGCATGATTCATGATTTGTGGTGGAAATGCACATTATATACCTGTCTTTCCCCAATATACAGACGCCCACAGTGCATCATTTGATGGATCTAACTACCTAAGATGGGATCTGAGTCCTGCTAGCGAAACGTTGAATCTGGAAGAGGAGTTGATTGATATCCAGTTCTTAACCGTTGAGCCGACTGGAATCCTCCTGTCAGCCGATGGTACACAGGGAGACTTCATCATGATTGCCATGGACGATGGAAAATTGAATCTCACTCTTAATCTAGGTAGGTGTGGTAGGATTTCAACTTCTTCTTCTTCTTCTCTTTCTTCTTTCTGCTTCTTCAGCTTTTTCTTCTTGTGTATTTCTCCTTCTTATTCTTTCTTCATTCTGTTTCTCCAGCTTCTTCTTTTTTTGTATTTCTTCTTCTTCTTTTATTTCTTCTTCTTCTTCTTCTTCTTCTTCTTCTTCTTCTTCTTCTTCTTCATTTCTATTTCTTCTCCTTCTCCTCTTTCTCTTCTTATCTTTCTCCCCTTCTCTCTTGATCCTGTCTTTTCTTCTTCTTCTTCTCCTCTGCCTTTTCTCTTCTCCTCCTTTCTCTTTTTCTTCCTTTCCTTTTCATCTTGAATATTTTGATCAGATATTCACTGCCTTTTTCTAGTAAAAAATGTCCAATTTCTGTGATGTTGTTGACTGGAAATGTATGGCCATTAATAGATAAACAATCACTGCATACACCTGTACGGCATATGACCAAATTAAGGGCAAAATCCATTACTTTTTAGATCATTTGCAAATGTCATTTTGCATTAATGTGTTTCAAGATTATAGTTAACCATTCAATCTTCACATGTGATTTCCCCAGAAATTAATCGTCCTTTCTTTACCAATACCATTTGATCCTGTACATGTAGGTAGTAACAGCTTATACAATGACGGCTTATTTACCATGGAGGTTGGAAGTCTCCTGGATGACGGACACTGGCATAGCATGAGATACATGAGGGTTGATCATGAAATCACTCTTCAGCTCGACGGCTTGAAGGTCAGAGGTGAACTCTCCAGTGACTTTGCCAAACTGGATCTAGACAGAGAGGTAAGATTGATCACTACATCTTGCTATTCTCTATAGTTCATTGATGCTATACTTTAAATAATTTGATTTAATTGATTTGTTTTATTGTCTAAATAAATGAAAATTCTTTTTTCACATGGTTACAAAGTATATATGATATCAAGTATAAATCAATTGAACAAACTTCAATTACTTCAAATTTAAATTCTGTTGAAGCCTTTCGCTGCTTTTACTGATGTAATCCACCTAATTTGAAAATAATTTCATATTATTAAGATATATGAGAGAAAACATACACTCGTCTACCAAGATATATAATTACAAACATGAGATTATCCAAGAAATTGAAGTGTACTCCTCAGAAGCTTCTAAATAGTTAGAACAGTTTTCTGATTACACAACAATGTTCTTATGATAATGCAATGAGAAAATTGTCATTGTCTAGTAAGTAAAAATTGTTATGATTCAGATTGGCCTCTTCAGGAAGTCACTCTTTTAATGAAGCCTAATGTTGTAATGATAATCCAAGATTTTTTGTCTACACGATTTACTCACATCCTACTCATTTGTATTTAATTTTTTTTGTGTGTGTGTATTCATTTGTTTTGCTTTGTTTTTGGTGACGGAATAGAAACATATAGAAAACATATTTGCAATAATTTCATTTAGGGTGGTGAATGTAAAATTGAAAATTTTCTTTAGGGAAAATATAATTTTTTTCCTCCAATTTTGTTGTTGAGTGCAGGGCAAATGGGAAGAGAGCTTGTAAGATACGTCACAGATTTGCCATTTGTGTTTGATTGATCGCACCTTCAAAATTGCATAACTTTTTAATTTGTTATCGATTTTTGCTCAAATTTTCAATGACGGGTTTCTCCCATGTTTCTGCTTCTATTAAAACCAACTGAATATTATGTCTTAATGATGTACCATCATTGTAAATATGAACGATTGAAAGAGGAAAAATAAATGAATTGAATTGAATTGAATTGAATTGAATTGAATTGAATATTAGGGTGGACTTCCCCTTTAATAAAGACAAGCATTTTCCTTAGTAGCTACACTATGTTATCCCGCCCTTATTAAAGGTATAGACAAGATTTGGAAAAGCCCCCCTCTCAAAAAATGAAATGGAAGCTCTTATTACCAATCATGTGAAAGAATATGTTTTGACCGATACGTGATGATACAAATTTTGCCGGGAAACCGCCTACTAAATGATATATTTGGTAAATTATCATATAGGTTGAAGTATTGCCATCTAAATCTTTGAAAGCAATATTTTTATCAATATTAAATGGATATTTGCACCCAAAACCCTTGAACCGCAATTTCATCACTACCGGTCGATATCTTTAAAGGGATCCGGTAACTTTGTCTCAGATTCTGAAACAAAATTCTGGATTTAGCTCATGATGCAATGATAATTATAAACCTTTAGGTCAGTCAGGAACCCCATGACTTTTACAAGCCGATCGCCTGTCTGATTATCAATTTATTTATTTTTTATTTATTATAGTTTTATTTTAACAGGGTGGTCTCATTCAAGTTCATTTCTGAGCCTGCTCTCCCAGAGAGCCCTGTATTCACATAAAAAACATGTACAATAATAACATGAATTCAAAACATACATACAAAGGTAAAATATACATGGTATATACAATAATTAAACATGGGTAACGAAAAACACGCATTAACAATAAATTATAAGGAAAAAAAAATACAACTATCAAATTGAAAAAACTAGATGAATGAAATGTAATAAATAAAGGTCAAATTAACGTGAAAATATGTTTACAAGGGAAACTGAAAGGTTTTGACATTCTTTTTAAAACTTTGCAGCGACTTACAATTTTTAATATGATAGGGTAATTTATTGTATATTTTAGCTCCTGAAACCGCTAAGGTTTTCGTTTTAAAATTTGTTTTACACTTTGGAATGAATAATGGACTGTTTAAAGCATAACGAGTAGAATATAATATCGGTCTTTTACTTATACATGGATTAAGATATGGTGGTGATAGGTCGTTTATGATTTTAAAAATCAAGATGCATTTCTGATATTTAATTCTTTCCTCTAATGACCGCCATTTCAATTTACTCATTAAAACATTTTGGGGTGTAAAATATTCGGCACGAAGAACTAATCGTGCATATCTATTTTGTAATTTTTGCAACTTTGTTAGATTTTGTTTCGAAGTATTCCCCCATACTGAATTACAGTAGTTTAAATGCGGTAGGATAAGAGAATAGTATAATGTAATAAGATTCTTGCGGGAAATATAATTGCGTATACGTCTAATGCAGGCAATCGTACCCGATACTTTCTTAACAACTTCTTTTACATGTAACGACCATGTTAAGCTTTTGTCTAGTGTTACACCTAGATATTTCATACTTTCGACTGAGTCGAGTACATTGTCACTGTAACGAATACAAATATTATTATTTTGAATTTTTCTTTTGGAACCAAATAGTATTGTTTTGGTTTTATTTGCATTTAAAAACAGTCCATTGTATTTTAGCCATTTCAAGATACGGGTAAAATCTTTTTGGAGATTGTATTCACAAACTTTATAATCCTTTCCATGATGAAATATTGCCGTGTCATCTGCATATAAGGAAATCTTTGTCTTAGAATGGAGTTGCAGGTTACAAATATCATTCACATAGAGGCAGAAAATTAATGGCCCCAGTATTGATCCTTGTGGAATTCCTGATTTCACAGTTAGAAAATTACTCTTAGTCCCTTGCAAGAATACACATTGTTGCCTATTAGATAGATAGGATTCGAACCACTCAAGTTCAACTCCCCCAATACCATACAATAACATTTTCTTAATAATCAATGGGTGTGGTATAACGTCGAACGCCTTTTTCAGGTCAAGAAAAATGGCTCCAGTGACCAGACCTTTGTCCATATTGTCAAGTATACCTTCGACTATTTCAGTCAAGCATGTTAGAGTTGAATGCCCTGGTCTAAAACCTGATTGCCGTTCACTTAACAAAGAATGTTTGTTTAAGTAAGAGTATATCTGATTGTGAACTGCTTTTTCAAATATCTTTGACATTGTGGGGAGAGTGGAAATAGGTCGGTAGTTAGTTAATTCCATTTTGTTTCCACCTTTATGAATAGGGGTTATTTTAGCAACTTTAAAGTCATGAGGAACGTACCCTTTCGACAATGAACAATTGAACAATACTGTTAAGACTCTAACAATATGTGGGGCAGCTATTTTAAGTAGCTTTGGAGGAAGATCATCAATACCAACTGCTTTTGAAACATCAAGCTTGAGTAGTTCTTTTAATACAAAACATTCCTCGATCTCTGTAAATTTGAATTCATGTGCTGTTTGCGGTAATGTTTGCAATGTATTTATATTGAGATGAGAATCATTCGCTCCTGTTAGTTGGCTTTGAATATTATTGAAACTTTCATTAAACAATTCTGCTACTTTTTCTTTGTCTACTACAATTTGGTCATTTACAAGAATTTTATGATCAGAATTGGCATCTTTCTTTGGGAGTAAGTCTTTGAGTACTTTCCAGGATTTTTTCATATCATTACCATTTTCAATGCAAAGATTCTTATAATATTGTTTCTTTAACTTCTTGTTCAGTACATTTGCCCTATTTCTGAATTCTTTAAACTTTTCCCAGTAGTCTGTAGTTTTGTGTTTATCAAATTTGCATTTAAAATAATTCCTATCTCTTGCAATACATAAATATTCGTTGGTAATCCAAGGTGACCCCCTAGAACGTTTTCTTACTGTGACATACGGTGCATGAAGATCACAAATGTCTTTGAATTTACATTTGAAAATATTCCACATATTCTCAACATTGTGATTGTTTAAGTACAAATTATCCCAGTTTATATCTTTAACATCATTTTTGAAAGAATTTTCATTAAAGTTTCTAAATGAACGGTAGGTACTCACAGAACATATAGAGGGCGGTGGTTTTTCTTTCAATACAAGGTATATCAATAAATGATCACTTAGACCGATAGACCGTGTGCCACTCTCCAGTGATTTCAAATTATTTGACACAAGAATTAGATCAATAAGGGTTGTACTATTAACGGTTATACGTGTCGGGGTCCTTATCAGCTGAGACAAATGCATATTGTCACTCAGATCATGTATCTGCTTTGAAAGATTATTCTGAGTTAACATATTACAATTTAAATCACCTAATATTACAATATCATTTGATAACATACATATATTTTCTAAATTAATTTCTAAGTTATTGAAAAAAGCACTTCTACTGTTAGGTGGACGATATACAACTCCAAGATACTTTGGTTTGTGATTGTGTAGTCTTATCTCTAGCCACATAATTTCTAACTCACGGTCTTCAAGATCAGGTCGTCTAATATATGATATATTTTTTTGTATAAAACATCCAACTCCTCCTCCCTTTTCGTCTCTATCTAGTCTTTCAAAATGATACCCATCAATTTGTAACAATGAATTACAAATGTTTTCACTTAGCCATGTTTCTGACAAGGTCAGAATTTCGTACGGATTTTCTTTCAAATATAATTGCAGATCATCCACCTTATTTCTAAGACTACGAATATTTAAATGTGCAATTTTCAATCCTTTACCCTTTGGAAAGTCATTTATAGAGGTACAGGTATTCGTACTTAAGTCAATGTCTATATCAACAGAATTTGTATGGTTCAAGCTCACATTTCTATCTTTTACTATATCCTCAACATTCCAAAGCGGCATTTCTAGGAAAATACATTTGGTACATTGCCAATTGTGAAACTGTTCAGTTTTATCATCATATTGTTTGGAAGATACATCTCCACATGAAATATGTATCCATTGGTTACATTTAGTACAAAGTAGCGCTTTTTGATTACACTTTACGGGTTTCTCACATATATTACAAGGAAAGACATTGACCATGGTTAAAATGATGAAATAGGACCAAAAAAAAAAAAAAAAAAAAAAAAAAAACTTGAAATATAAATACAATTAATTTGAAATTTGAAATAACGTTCGTCTCCTTCTCAATTAAATTGAATATAACGCTTGAAATTCTCAACATGAGCCAAGCTGGCATTAATTTGGGATAATTTTGATCTCTAATAATACCTCCATTTTGTTACAAAGAGTAAATTGTTTCGAAATGGCAAACAGGTACATACAAGTTCATGAGTAATTTCTCCAGCACCACCATCTGTGGGTGGAGGCTCAAACACTCAGTTCAAATTATATAGCAGAATTTCTCATATATACGCTCAGTTTGTCTAAGTCTCTCTCTCTTGTGACATTCACTCTTCCTTTTCCTTCTTTCAGTTTAATGCAGATACGTCCATCTTGTGTCCATGTCTTATCAATGATTTTCTTGAATTTGTTTCTAACCTTCCAGAGTAGTTCTTTCCGCTTCTTAGTGAGGCTTTCATTGATGTAGACATGGTGATTATTCTCATCGCTAAGATTCTTTAGCTTGAATCGTGCACTGTAGACTTGCTCTCGGGTGCGATAGCTATTGAATTTAACGATGATATTCCTGGGTGTGTGGCTATAGTTGGTCGTCCCGATGCGCGGTTTCGTCGATCCGTCGCTTTGGGGTTTCTGCTGCCCAAGTCGATGACTACGTTCGACGTCATCCATCTTGATATCGACACCGAGGTCCTCCTTGCAGAGTTGTATGATTCTGGAATCGGTATTCTCATTCATCCTCTCAGGTACACCACTTATCACAAGGCATGTACGTCTGGAGTACTGCTCAGCATCATCATTAACTTCCTTTAATTCGTCTATTTCCTTTCTCATCGCCGCCATCACATCCCCTTGATTTGCAGAATTAAATTCCAACGAGTCCAAAACTTCTTGACAAATTGACTCCTTTAAATCATTCAGAAGCTTTCCTTGAATTGTTCGAGTGAGCTGATTCACAAATTCGTCGTCTTTGAGAAGACTTTCTAATACTTGCCGAATGGCTGAATTGAGTTCAGCATCGGGCTCTACGGAAGTAGATTCTGGCGCCGCGGGGCTTCGTAGCTTGGTCACGTGATCTCCCGATGCGTGAATTGGCGCCGGTTTACCGGGTTCCTTTGTACCGCCCGATACATCAGCGGGAGCTGGTGGGCTCTCCACGGCGCCTTGGGTAGGGACAATGGTTGGGTGTGTCCCGTTGTTTGCTGCAGCTTCTCGTCTCGGCTTTCCTGATCTTGTAGGCATTTTTACTGATGTTTTGCTGGTAAATCAAGGGTTTTGGGTCCAATTTCTACAAGCGGTAGTCCATGTAACGATAAACAGTTCTTGTTTTCGAGGTTTTCGAGGTAATATTTCCAGTATAGCTCAGTTTAGCTCATTGTTGGAGAGAGCTAGGTCATAACACGTCCGCTCATCACGCCGATCAGTTATCCCTATCAAGATATTTATGATTGGAATTACAAATTTTGAAAAACGTTTGCCTGACGGTTTTCATAACACTACAGTCTATTGGGGAAAACGAGTATGGTAAAACCGGTCACTCAAAGATTTTTACTTTTTTGAGGCACTTCTTGATCATTTTGAAGCGCAATTTTTTTAGGGCTTCAATATTACACCATATCACAGACACTGATAACACGTAGGGCCGTGTATCTCAGATTTAACATTGTTAAACGATCCCTTTAAGGATGGCTTACGTGCAGCATTTTTACGATAGTAATCATTTCCTCATGCCATCAGTGCTTTCAAATCTTTACCCCATCCAACATTACCATGTTCCAAATGAAGGGAAATGTCTGTGAAAGGCAATGAACTGCAAAAGTTTGGATCAAGATATCATTCCACACTCTGTAAACCCCTTCCTGTTTTGCTGGCATGAAATCCATGTTCCTGACTCCCGATGAAACACGCCTCCTAAAATTCCAGACGACGATCTGCGTCGAAGGGAAATGCATTTAGCGTGTTGCATTAGAACTTAATCAGGCCTGGCCTGGCTGGCTGTAACATTCTCACCGTTCTTACTAAGTTGTTCAATATTTAATGACTTTCACAAATGATTCATATAAATACATCTGGAGTGTGTTTCTCCTTCCATTTGATCTCTGCAGAGAGTATGTAGACCAAAAATATGGCACTTTTTTAATTATTATTTTTATCATTATTACAGAGCTGCCAACCATTCCGTTTTTCCTCCAAATTACGGTATTATGTTTTTTTCTTCATAAAATACTCTTCTTTTTTTAAAAATTTATATTTAAATTTTTTTTTTTTTTTTTTCTTACCGCACGTCAAACAACTACCCTAAATGGTGATTTGATCACAAATTCAATAGAAAACTGAATTTAAAACATACTTGAAAAAATAAATATTCTCAAAAAGAATGAAATGCAGATAATTCCAAAATAACCTCCAAAAAAAATTCCTGCTTGTATGGAAAAAACAGCATGATGAATGAACATTTCTGCATTGGAAGTGTGTCGCGCGTGGTTGTAAGTTTCGTTTTTATGAATTCCTTTTTTTTTTTGCCATCATGATTCCTTTTTTTGGTCGCACATGGTTGGCAGCTCTGTTATTATCATAATTATCTTAATTATTATTATTACTGCTACTGTTACTATTATTATTTATTAGAATAAAGTAATTACAATGTTTTTATGTTTTACAGTTTAGTCGGATGATTTATAAATACAATTAGCTTCCCAAAAGTAATTTATTTATTTTGTATAAAGTATGGCGCAGTTTTGCGAAAGCACTACCGGTTGTTAAAACTATTAAAGCATTAAATCATTTCTTCCATTAGATTATTTTAATTCCAAGTAATTCTTTGAATGCATTTCCATGCAGATGACAATTGGCGGTGCATCAGACAAGGCCAAACGTCTGCACAGAATTAAGCAGAACTTTAAAGGTTGTCTGCAGAATGTGCGTATCAGTAACACGGTGAACCCATCTCTCCTGGGCATCGCTCTAGACTTCATATCAGAGGTGGAGATAGGAGGAAGACGAGCATTCTCATCGGTCGGTGAATTCCATGCCGGCTGTACCAGCCTAGATACGACCTCGTTGACCTTCCCGACGGAGGACTCGTATCTCAAGTGGACCATTTTTACCTCCAATAACAACAACTTCACGTAAGTCAATTCAATATATCAGTGTAAATCGACACTCAGACTGTAAATATTGTATGTGTGTGTGTGCTATTGATTATGCATTTTTTTTTTAGTACATGTACTTGTGTCTGATATGAATGGTGTAATATCCTAGTGAAATGGAAATTCTATTATCATTGTGAATTTGTATTAGTTATAAGATGTTTGTGATATCTTTTACTGTATCTTGTGATAATCCTTTCACATGAATACATACATGTAGATATTTATGTAATTCTTACAAAATTTATATTAATGGGTTGAATTATGTGGAATTATGTGAAATTATTTCAGATTGCTAACAATTAGTCACTGTTTTTCTGTCTTTCCCAGTTAGAATCATGAACAGACATTTTTGGTAGTTTTTCAGTCTCATCAGCTCCTTTGATTAGGCAACTAGATATTGGCGCTTTATAAATACCTGGATTGGATTGGATTAGATTAGATTGGATTAAATAGAATTCAACACAAGGAAACATGATATTCTAAGTCATTTAATAAATGACCTTATCAAAACAAGGACAAAGTTGTGATTTTATTCATATCCCAGTCCTGTCAGTCCTTTGTACTTTAATCCAGTTAGCGGTCATGGCCAACAACTTTGGAAGCACTGAATTACCATAACATGTCCTCACCATAGTAATGGGTAATTAATAGCACCCAGGGGCCTCATCCTTAGCGGAGTGATTTGATTAGAGTAATTTGTGTCCTAATGCTGCCAGACCTGGCTCTTGTAAAACAATCTTCATACCGGTATATCACAATTAATACTAAGTGGAAATGAATTATGATATTAATCTCCAGGAAGAACTTCCATTTTTTCATCTGTCAAGGGAAGGCAAGATGTTAAATATGATTTAATTTCTATTTACTCCTCTTCAATGTAGGATCTCAATCCTTACCTTCTCCTTTTCATTTTCTTTTCCTTTAAGAGTTCAACATATGTCTTTTTGTTGTTTCCTTGGAATTTCCCTGATTTTCTGTATTGTTTTTTTATGAAATATTTTCATTCAGGATGTTTTAATAGTGTGTGATTGGATAGGCTAATGTTTCATATTACTCTTCCACACCTCCATATTTTGGCATAATTTTAGCCACAATATTAAGGTTATGCACATTTTTTATTGAAGTCAATTGGGTAGAAAATTATATCCTCTTAATTTGGGAATATTATTATACATTTGAAGCTTGAACAGAACCCCTTGAAAATTGATATGCCTGCAATTTTAGAGATAATGTTTATTTAGCCATTTATTCAGGGTGTACTGGTTTTTTTTCCATTGTACCGGTATATACATTTGTATATTCTGTATTAGACTTTGTTTCTGAATTTAAAATTCACACTTTCACAGATAAGCTTCAATGCATATTGATAAGTCACAAATATAAGATGTACTGTACATGTACATGTAATAGGAAAAACAGATTTATCGATCTGAGCAAATGACCCACACTCATTATAGGTTCTATGAACCATGCATTGGTGGTAATTGCTCTGCAGTCATTTTCCCACTCTAACAGTCTAACTAAATTCCAAACTTCAACCTAGGAACAGACACTAATGCTACCCCCCCCCCCCCCAACCCTGACCCGCAAACCTACAGTTGTTACCTAAAACAAAGGTGCAACCCTAATGTAAATCTAATCTTAAACAAAATATGTCCTGAACAAATGTTGGTTCACCACATTACATGTATGGTCTATTAAAATTGTTGAGGCTCTTTGAAGGAAATTTACTTGTAGACAACTAGACATACATGAAGAGGCATTAAAACAAAATTTTAAAATCACAAAATCCATGACCTTGAGCAATTTGAAAAACTTCAGTAAGTCTGTCAAATCAATCATTAGTTATTGATATATATCCTGTACAGATTTGATAGTAAAATACCGGTATGTGTAGTTAAAACTATTTTCTTCATTATTATACTTTATGCCATCCTATCCCCCTCTCTCTCTCTCTCTCTCTCTCTCTAAGTACCATATTGATTGACTTTGGCGATCATGCTGTTCCACACACAACCTTCGGCTCCTAGCCATCTCTATTAGCACCACTCCCAGTTCTTTCACTCCTCTCTCTTCTAACAATTTCTGCAGACTGTCCATCCAAAGTATCCTCCTTCTTCCCCTACTCCTCCTTCCCACAATTTCCCCATCCTATCATATAAGGTAATTGACATCAAAATTGGTTTTGTCCACAGGGTGCATTTACGATTCCGTACCTTTGACGATGACTCACTGATGCTGTACAATGAACAGGGCTCTAACCAGTTTATTGCGTTAGGTGTTCGGGACTCCAGGTTTGTGGTCATCATCAAAAACGGCGGCGATACTATCGACATACCGGCTGGTAAGTGTGTTGACTACAATGTTTGGGCCAGATATTAAATTCATGAAGAGGGTAATGCAATTAGGTGTAGTAGATAAACAAGACTTCCTGTTCCTTTTGATGAGAAAGTTATAATCTTGGGTGCCATTTTTTAGGGCCATAGCCTGATTTCAGACCCTGGTACCTCCCCATTTCAGTCTTTGTTGAGCCTTTTTCAGGTTTTAGGACAAATAAGGAACTCAACATGTCTCAGTTTCTTATCAGGTTTTTTGTGTGAAACCAACTGGTATCTCCCAATATAACAAATGATGGATACAATGAGTGAGATGTAATTTTAGTTATTGCTTAATAAGAAGATTCAAGTACTATAGTTTGTGAATTAAAGATATTGCTGTGTTTACCACCATGAAAGACTGTCCTGTGCTAAATAGATTTTTGTGATTACTTTCCTAATCTGATTCATGGGTTAGAATATTTTATTACATTAATGAGTGACTTTCGTCACTAGAAATTGTGATGATGATCCCAAATGGTGGATTAAATTTTCCTTTTTGTAATTGTATGTTGATTACTAATTAACTTCAACTCTTTGTTTGTAACCTTGTGATTCCTTGTGTTTGTTACTTGTATTGATGAAAATCCACAATCATGGATTCTATATCAATAAATTGACTTGATTTGACTCGATATATCTTCTTTGTTTTTACCCAGCTGTGTATGTCAATGATGGTCTATGGCACAGGTCAAGGGTCGAGGTCGCTTCAGGTCAAGTCCACATCACTATAGATGACACCAAACAGACAACTTCATTCAACACTGGATTTGTTTCTACATCTACAGAGTTTTATATTGGTGGGACCAGTAAGTCACATTTATTCATTTCTACTTGTTCTAATTATGGACTTGTGAGTTTGTAATTTTGCCTCTGCAGTTATCGTGATTCCTTGATTTACCTTCATGCTTTCAAGTTGGAATTATCCATGTATTTTTTTGTGTATTTCAGTTGTCACATTTTTTGTAAAACAATTAATTTATATACAATTATTAACCGTATCAGACATCTGAGCAGGGCAATTTTTAAATGTTATTGCCCTCAAGGTTTAATGGATAAGCCAACAAAAACTACAGGCGAAAAAAAATATTATTGACCGCTCAGAAAAGTCTGTAGGATTTTGTGTGTAATTTGCCAGTCAATAATATTATACAGTAAACCAATGAACAAATATTATTGCCCGATCTGAAAAATCATCGGCAAAATGTGTGTTAAATGAGTTGGGCAATAATGTAGAGCCAATTGTAATTTTCATTGCGCATCTATTAAGCGTATGAGAAAATGCGCACTTTGCGCGCACTCTATTGTGACGTAATAATCACACCCAAGGCAAACTGTTTGTCAATATTACTTAATTATTGTTGATTGAATATTTTGTATTTGATTTTTTGAGATATGCAGAACCTTCTGCTTTAAAAAAAAGATCCTTCATGACTCAAATGAAAAGCCATGGTTTGTAAAAATTAGCAAATATTAGCCATACTGTTTTGTTTTTGTTTCTATTTAAATCACGCCTCTTGGGCTATTACTCGGTTTTCAATTATATCTATGTATTTTTTGTTGTATTTCAGTGGTCACATTTTATGTAAAACAATTATATTATATAGTATTATTGTTGATTGAATATTTTGTATTTGATTTTTCGATATATGCAGAAACATCTGTTTTTAAAAAAAGATCCCTTGTGACTCAAATGAAAACCCATGGTTTGTAAAATTAGCAAATATTAGCCATACTGTTTTGTTTTTGTTTCTTTTTATATCAAAGCCTCTCGGTCTATTACCCGGTTTTCAATGATATCTATGTATTTTTTTTTTGTATTTCAGTGGTCAAACTTTATGTAAAACAATTACCGGTATATTATATAGTATTATTGGTGATTGAATATTTTGTATTTGATTTTTTGATATACAATGTATGCAGAAACATCTGCTTTTAAAAAAAGATCCTTTGTGACTCAAATGAAAACCCATGGTTTGTAAAATAAGCAAATATTACCCATACTGTTTTTTTTTCTTCTATTAAAATCAACGCCTCTCGGTCTATTACTAGGGGTATTTATACTCGTGGAGGTGTTGGGGTACATGTATATAGTGGTGATTCTCTATCCAAGGGTCGATGGTTTGATTCCCTGTTGAGCACTAACGTTCTTTGGTTTAATCCACATTTGCCACTCTCCAATCCATTGAATATCACAAACATAACTCAAGTTATCGAATGGAAACCAGATTCGCATATTTAATGAGCTATGACCTTTGACCTTCATACTCCGAAATTGAACTTAGGCTGTGTTTTGATACCATGTACCTTCATATCAAATTTCATTAAAATCCGTCAAACATTACTAAAGTTATCGATCGGAAACCAGATGTGTATTTTTTCGCATATTTAATGAGGTATGACCTTTGACCTTTGACCTACATACTAGAGATATTTATACTTGTGGAGGTGTTGGGGTATATAGTGGTGATTCTCTATCCAAAGGTTGATGGTTTGATTCCCTGTTGAGCACTAACGTTCTTTGGTTTAATCCACATTTGCCACTCTCCAACCCAGTGTAAACGGATACTAGTACCTTGCAATTGCAGGGGTAATAATTGCAGGAAGAGCAGGAATAATACTGGGACCCGTTTCACAAAGCCTTCTTTCAATGACAAATGACAAAAATCAGGTGACAAATCTGCTGATAACCAATCAGAAGCAAGGATTTCACTGGCTTATAACAAAAACTGTCATTTGTCACTGTTTTGTGAAGTGGAGCCAAGATGTGTCTACACTTGGTTTATAGTCAGACCCAATTATTAATTCAATCACTATTGTAACCCCTGATCAAATGGTGTGGGAAAAATGCTTTTTCATTACACAATTTTGTTGTTTGTATATCTGTTTATATGCTACTAAGGATTTAATTAGATTTTTTTGTAATTGGTTTGTTGTGACAATGGAGTTCTATACAATATTTCCAGCAAACATGATTAGAACACTTTTATTGATCTTACTACTGCTCGATTTGATGTCCTCGTATCTCATTGAGTGATTTCAAGTTGGGTGTTTAGGGCTGGTGTTAGTTTTTAATAAACACGAACACCAGCCCTAAACACCGAAATGGAAATCAGCTGGTGTTAAGGCTTTGACCTCTGAATATCGTCAACTTCCGATAGCTAGTGAAATCGATTTTTCAAAGTTGTCGTCTGCTGAACTGACCTGTTGTGGCTGGTGTTAATATTTTACGTACAAATGTCCTATTCACTAACACTAGCCCCTTGGGATTAAGCACATGTTGCAAATTTTTAGCTCGATTTAAGAGCTCTTGACTGCTCTCAACAATGACACTAACACCGAACTTCAAATCACTCCTTGAATATCCTCTGTAGTGTTACCCAGCGGAATAGACACAGCGTACCTACCAGGGTTCCGTGGGTGCATCAGTGAGATCCATCTTCAGGACATCACTGTGGACATTGCTAGTCTGGAATCTACCACCACACCATCAGGCGTCATCAAGAATGACATCCAGGTCGATACCTGCGCTCTCTTTGACTGGTAAGTGTACGTGTGGTGATGTTATAATTATGATAATAATGATAATAATAATGACGATGATAATATGTGAGATTTGTAAGGCACCGAATCCACTGTTCAAAGCGCATTTTTGAAACAAAACAAACTAGGATATCACATAAGGGAATCTGCAATATTAACAAAGGAATAGAACATTTAAAAAAAAGGACTGACAATTAGTTATATGAAGAATTAAGCAGTTTTAAGATTATTTTTAAACACTTCTGCTGATCTGCTAATATAAATCTCTCAAAGGAGAGCATTCCACAGCAAATGCCCTCTTCATTTTCTTTGACTGTTAACCCACAGAGTGCCAGATGATATCTTTAAAATTATTGAGGTTATTGTTGTTAATGTAAATTCATACTTCCTCTACATGTTATATTAATGTGATACAATTGTAAAATATCTAATGAGTTTTACATGTGCACAAATTAACTAGTGGCTGTTAACTATATGCATGTGTTCTAAAAATAAACTGTTGTCGGATTGATTTGGAAGTTCCTAGCATTATATGCTAGAACCTATTTTGAAGAACTATTCAGTATTCTGTTTATTCATCAATTTCTCTCCAAACGCTTATTGAATAAAGATAACAATCTAGATTTCTGTCACCGGTTTTCTGTTCTGTTTGATGTGTAGGTGTAGCCCAAACCCTTGCGAACACGGCAGTGTGTGCTCTTCAGAATGGCATACCTTTGTATGTGATTGCTATGGAACAGAATATTCTGGAGCAGTATGTCACACAAGTAAGTATAAAAGCAGGACCCTGTTTCACAAAGCTTTTTTTCAATGACAAGTTACACAAATCAGTGACAAATCTGCTGATAACCAATCAGAAGCAAGGATTTCAGTAGCTTATAACAGAGACTGCCATTTTTCACTGATGACAAGTTTTGTGAAACAGGTCCCTGGACCCTTTTTCATAAAGCTTGTTATCAATAACAAGTTACAATGACTGTTATAAGCTACTGAAATCATGGCATTTGGTTGGCTGAGAGCAACTTTAGCATAGAAATTTAGTATTTGTTATTGATAATAAGTTTTTATGAAACAGGGCCCATACTCTTCCTTCATGTTGTGATGAAGCAGGGTGGTTGTATTTGATAGGGTATACCTCCAGCAGTATAAAAGGGGTGATTCAGTATAAGAACAGCCAAAATAACTTCCTTTGTAGTTCATCAAGAATTGACATGCTCCTCTTTTCAGTTGTCATGCATAATGTGATCTCAGGCATTTTTCAATAAATCGTCTGTTTCAGAGCCAGAAGTGTGTTTACTCACACACGTCAACACAAAGTTCATGCCCTTCTGACTCTGAACAGCTAAAGTGTGATATCTTTGCTTAAAATTCTGTGAGGTAGCTTGTAAAAATAGCTATGTGTGGTAGAATTTTATAAAAATGTGAATTAGAAAAACTAATATGATAAGAAACTCCTTGTCCTGGAAAGATTAGCATGTAAATGATCTCATCGAAGGAACCATATGCATGATATTCAATAAATATTCTTATAAGCTAATTTATTTCAATATGCATGGGACTGTAGTTAGTTCTATTAGGGAATATCCCAGTTGACCGAAGCTCAAGAGTCAGAAGACCTATGAGGCCTAAAGTCAAAAGAAAGACAAATTTAATGAGATAAGAAAAAAATTAAAGCACACAAAGTCAAGAACCATTTCATTTTCAACTAAAGAGAACAGACCAACATGTACATGGTGCATGTAGCATTCAATGCATGGGAAATCAAATGGATTATTTTTACATTGTTTGATCAGACATGGACTTGGTTATGTGTGCATCATCTCTGACAGCATGGCCTTTGGCTTACCATTGACTCTGCACATGAATGCTCCATGAGTTTCCAGTGCATGATAAATGACAGTGCCTTGCAATGGTAAAATGACCTGGGGAGTGTTTCACAAATACTAAGAATGACTTTAAGTTGGACTTAACTATGGCAGGCCATTCATGCCACTGTGTGCTTTCACCATTTACTGGCATTTGTCTTTCAAAGGATGTACATGTACATCATGGTCACAAATCTACATAATTTACATATTTTTATTATTCATTAATGAAGGAAAACATAATATCTAAAGATCATAATGGTGAGAGCAAACAGTGGCATGAACAGTCTGCCATACTGTCCAACTTTAATAAAGTAAATCTTAGTCCCTGTGAAACACCCCCCAGAATGAAGATATTTCATGGATATATCCGTTCACCGTGTGATTTTGTTACAAATAATATGCATGTGTTGATCGTTCCATTCCATACCATCACTCAGGTAATAATGAACAGCTCTGTGTTAATCAACTCATACCCGGAGAAACAGTCATTGATACAGACGGCAGTGGTCCTATCACACCTCTATCAGTACGCTGTGCCATCGAAGGTAATGTTCGGCATCAATCATTTCTCTCTTTGCATATATTTACATCTTTAATATTACATTATGTAATGCCCAGGTCACGCCAAAGCGTCGAGCCCATGCGTTTCCATTTCAATGTGAGAACCCAGGAGGAACAAGCTGACGTCGATCTGGGTATTCATGATTTGAATTGGATCCGGAGTGACATTGATATAGCTATGCTGTGTTTCCCATGTGTTTAGAGGAAACGGATCTACAACGCATAGGCCCGAGAAAATTTCAAATTCCCACTGCATTTCTCCTCATTGGACCGGTATCGAGACGGTATCAAATTGACATTGAGATTCAAACCAAGAATGCATTGCCGGGTAGAAACGCATGGCTTTAGAAATAGAGGAACAAACTGACATAAAAATTAAAAAGTTTTGGTGTGACCTAGGCATAAGGTGTTATGATTGTGAATGTATGATTATACTTAATTCCTATTAAAAAAGGAAAAATTATCAAACTTTCATGCACAGTACACAACTATATTAAAATAGTACATATTTCTCTGTAAATTATTTTCTTTTCTCAAAGCACAACTGGCTTTAGTATACAAATATACACTGTCTTGAGAGGTTCTGGTTGAAACTATGCGCAAGAGGTGACTCCAATAGTACTATTTGCTGAGGGGCACACCCCCAAAGCAAATGGTGCTTTTGGAGTCACTGAGGCCCATAGTTTTAACAAGTACCTCGAATAGAAGGCATGGTATATTTGTTTTATATCCTGCATCAAATTTAAAATATTTTGTTTTCATTAAATTAAGATTTGAAGAAGAAAAAGAATTCAATAAAAAAAAATTAAAAATAGTTCAAATATTTATGGTCATGTGACGAGCTCTCAACCAATCAAAAGCCAACAAATTTTTGATGCAGGATATAATAGTATATAACAACAATATAATGGCTAATACAGTCAAACCTGTCTATCAAGATCACTCAAAGGAAACAAAATGTGGCCACTGTAGACAGGTAGCCTTTATAGAGAGGTTGTCACTAAGACAAGTTTGACTGTACTTGTTTCAAGTTCGTACACTATCTTTCTCATTCTCTTTCAATCTGTCTTTGCACCACACATTCAATGTTTGTATGTCATTACTCCTCTACACTGTGTCTGTGAAAAAATATATCAATATCATATGCTCTTTGGAGAGACAATTTTCTCTTTATACTTGATGATTATGCAGTATAATATCCTTTCAAAGGACTATCCAGACTTTATAGCACATATTATATATGAGTATTATGACATCAGTGTATCCAATATATTTACATATATATTTGTTTGGAATATGATTATTTTTTTACTATATATTTACAACTTGAATAATCTGTATGTATTTGAGTAAACTGAACTTCCTTTTATATCATTGTATATCCATAATTATTTGCATGAATGAGGGAAATAACAAGGTGTTTTTCATTAGAAAAGTTTGTTAAAAACATTCTGTTTCAGTGAATAGATTTATTTTTACCTTCATTATTTGTTATTGGTATTTAATGTACATAATTAATTACTTCGTCCCTGTTTTCACGAAGTGACGGTAGTGAGGAAAATCGTCACGCAAAGTGAATGCAATTTTGTTTCACTACCGTCACTTCGTGAAAACAGCAACGACTTTACCTCATAAAAATTGGTTGATTTGTTTACTTCCATTCTTTTCCTATCTTTTAGTCTATAACTTAATCATTTTTTATGACTTTGATTTTTTATTTTCGTACTGTTTTCTTTTTAATAGTTGATGATGGTGAGAAATGCTTTTGTTTTTGTAGTGGATTGCATTTCCAGGCTTCATGGCATTTTGGGGGTTCTATTTTGCTTTATTTTTGCCACACTTTGATGATATCCATGATTACTAATATGAAGATCAGTGCATCATATTTTCTTCATCAGTCATGCTACATGTATGTGCAGTTTTTGAAGAGTGGGATGGTACTGGTGGGGGTGTAAGGGCTTTTTCCCTTTTTTTCAAAACACATGCATAATGCATATGTTACCGAATAATTACACATTTATTGATTGTAATTTAGGGCCCTGTTTCATGAAAAACTGTTATCCATAACAAGTTACAATAACTGTTATAAGCTACTGAAATCATGGCATTTGATTGGCTGAGAGCAAATTTGTCATAGAAATTGAGCATTGATAACAAGATTTATGAAACGGGGCCCCGATCTGTGTGTAAGGTTTAAAATAAGAAAAATAGTAATAATACATAGTGGTACAAAGTCTTTTAAACCAGGGATGCATTCTTTCAAGGCTCCATGTTCTCACCGAATATGGTGGGTAGACTTGAATGCCAGTATATTCACTGCAAGTATTTGGGAAAAGAAAGAACAATTGGATTACAGACGAGACAGAGTTAAATCTCATTACGAAGGTCAATAGTGTCAATCGGCACTGCAGACAGATGTCACATGTTTATGTGCTTGTATGTCACTTGCAGGGGGGTTAGGTCTACTTACTCATACATGAACTAACTACGATTAGCCTGGGACTCGTTTCACAAAGCCTTTTTCAATGATAAATCTGCTGATAACCAATCAGAAGCAAGGATTTCACTAGTTTATAACAAAAACTGTCATTTGTCACTGATGACAGGTTTTGTGAAATGGGGGCCCTGGTCTGCTATTCTTTTATCTTATTTCATCTTTTTATGTGCACATATGGGTTGTCAGGATGGATTTTTAATCATTTTTATCAGCACATTTTCATGATTTTCACACCGTAACTGATATATTGGTTTGGTCCATTAACAACATTTATGTACCGGTACATATAGTTTAAATCTTTTAAGTCTGTATTTTCAAAAATTAATCTTATACAATAGATATTGTGTCTATATGATTATTAGTAAAACTTGGCAGAGTTACTAATTTAAAAGGTAAAACACCAACATTGGATGTATTTTTAGTATTGCATGATAATTATAGAAAGGTACACGTTTAAGCGTAATATATTCAAATTGGACATATCGGTATGTGATTTTCAACCAGGTTATGAATTATATTTAAAACTAATTGCAAACTTTGCATTTGAATGTAATTTTTCAGCTTGTGCTCTATTGAAGAACTTAAAGAAAAGTATCAAGCTACTGAATTGATAAAATGATGTAAGGGTAGTAAAAAGGCCTCTCTTATTTTGAAAGCAACTAATCAAGTTTTGTGTCGAGCACTATGTCTTGAAAAATTGATGAAATTGTATGGGACTCTCACTTCAATATTGCATGAATTGCATATAATGCTGAATTTTGAAGAAGAAAAAAAGCGGTAAATTCAATTGGGATGGTATTCATTGAAAGTGTTAAAACGCAAGTATATTCATTTCATTTTAATATGATTACCTTCATATAGACGCTGGGTCTGGTATGTATTACCGATGGACGGAGATCAGTCACAATGTGGAAGAAACGATGGATATACCAAGTGGGAACGAAGCTCCAGGATCTTACATGCAGAGGATAGAATATGAGGCTACTATGGAACAGATCGAAGACTTGATTCAACACTCTGAGCAATGTGAACAGTTCGTCAGATACGAGTGCACCAATGCAAAGTTACTCAATTCACCAAGTAAGTTCAAAGATGAGGAGACAGATATGATCTAGTGCAAGCAATTTTTTAAAATTGTTTTTTGTCTTTTGTATTTTGAGTAAAGAAAAGGAGTTTTATGCCATAATCACCCCCACTAATGAATATATTTTGTATTAAAACAAAAACATTTGAGTTAATTGTGTAGATAAAGTACAACTATGCTGAAAAGGTATACTTATTTAATTGATTTATTTTATGATATGATTATAATTATATGTTTTTAAACTTTTGTTAATAATTTATATGTACATAGTTTGTATATTACTTTCTATTATGTTGAAAACTGCAGAAAACGAAATTAAACAAACAAACAAAATAGGTACAAAGGAACAAACACAGTTGTACTCTTTACGAACCCCTTGCATATATACCTTCGACCTACTGGTGAAAAATCGTTATTTTTGAGCACCCTTCCTGATGAGGGCATGTCTCTGAGACTACGGTACGAGACCATTTGTGAAGCTCTGCTTCTTTAATTTAAACTGGATCTAAATATATACTTCCATATTGAAATTAGACTAGAATTGCAGTCAATATACATGTATCATCGGCTCAGAACTAGAAGGGTGTTAACTTTGTGTTAAAATATATGGAGTAATAAAATTAATGCTCTTCTGGCTCCAACCGGGCGTTATATTGTAAAATCTTTACCACTAAATTCATATTACCTTTGACTGATGTGTTTATGATTGGTTTTTTGTTTTGTTTTGTTGTATAGGTGGATCTCCCTATGGTTGGTGGGTGAACAGACATGATCAGAAGATGGTCAACTGGGGTGGAGCACCTGTAGGAACAGGAAGGGTAAGTTAACACTGCTTCAAACCACTCCAACAAAGCATAGAGTCAATGCTAATGCGTATCGACCTCTAGCGCTGTAGTATGTGCTGAGAGGCAGGTATTACACACAATGCACACATTTGCACACAATGAATACGAAGTGGCTGATTGGCAAGTTTGGCAGTAGATTCACGATTTGAATTTTCAAAATATTCTTTCTAAAATCGGTATGTTGAAACAATTGTATTTTACTGCTATTTAGGTGACATGAATTGTCACTAAAGTACCGATTTTTAGTGAACTCAGTTGAGTTTTGAACAGTGGTGTTTGACATGTTGAGAATCAATTGAACATTTTCTAATACACAGCCAGGATAGTAATGCAGCTATGTGTGGCTTCAAACAAGCTGCATTTGCGTCATCATTGGATTCCAAACGGTTGAAATGAGCTTGATGACAATATTGGAAGAAAAACTATTAGAAAGTTGCAAAGAACGTGATTATTGCTACATATTACTGGAGAATCGTACCCTCTTTTTATTCTTCCCTTTTGTACAATTTTCTTCTGTGCTCACTTGACATGAAACTTACTCACAAATATCGAAAGAATTTCTTCATTATCCTTTTTCCCTCCTGTTTTTAACCCTATTTAGCCCCCCTCGACATTTTTCGCGATAATTTTTTACGCAAGAAAATCTTGCACTGAAATTTTGTGACTTTTTTCTTTCAAGTCTTGCGCATCTTTTGAAAGAAATTTTTTGAAAATCGGACCTACCATTACAAAGTCACGTGTCCTTTTGTCTTTGCATGTCAGCCCGAAAATCGCTCATTTTTGTGATTTGTGTACAAAACATATGGAAATCTCATTTTTCAAATAAAGAGATAAAACATTGGTTATTTGGTCTTGTTTATAGTTTAGGTGTTTATTTTGGGGTCAAATAGTTGAATTATAGTTGGAAATGAAATAAAACAACAAAAACAATGAAATACATAAGTTAAAAAAACAAAGAAATACATAAAAAATTATCAAAACACTAGATAACATAAGGAATAACCCTGGTTATTCAATTTTTTGTGTTGTATTATTATTCCAAATGGTCTAACAAATATATGTAGTGAAAAAGAATGCTTAAATATGAATAATGTCTGATTTATGGGCAAAAATGTGAATTTTATTACCTTACTTGCATAAATTACCATAAACATGCAAATGAGTGAATTTTTCAAAACATTGAAATTACTATAGTATTCTATACACTTCACTTGACATCTATGCAAATTTTCGCGGCGATCGGTCGTGACATCATAGGGGGGGCTTCTAAAGCACCCCCGGGCTATGCAGTAAAATAGCCCGGGCTAAATAGGGTTAAAGCCTATTATCTCTTTATTTGAAATGCCATCATTTAAATTTTATACACGTAATATTATCCTGCGTAATTTTTTTTTCTTCCTGAATGAAGTAACTATTCTGCTGAATGGCTGGTTCCGAACCCTTTAATCATCATCATGATATCCCCCTTTTTTTTTCTTCCTAACATTTCTCATTTCAGTGTGCATGTGGTATTGGTATGGTGTGTGCCCCCGATAACTCCAAGTACTGTAACTGCGATGCTGATTCTACAAACGATGGTGTTGATGAGGGCTACCTGACCGAGAAGGACCATCTACCTGTAACACAGCTCAGGTTTGGGGATACCGGTGATGCAGGGTCATCAGCTTCTTATCAGCTGGGAAAACTTAGATGTAGAGGGGACGGTAAGTACGCTCAGTTACTGGAATTTTTCGTCAAAATTCTTGTTATGAAAACTTCAGTTTTTACTGAGAAGTTTGAAGTTTGATGTTTATTTGTTCCACATTTACATCAAAAAACAATTTAAATTCTTCTCTTTTTTTAAATATAAGCGTAGATTACATAAAAAATTAAAAGAAAAAATTAAAAGATTTCAACTAAAAGATTCCAAGTACAGAAAATAGGTAAAATTTTTTGAAATATATAGATATGACAGTCAAGGTAATACAATGTAAAATGTGGGAAGCCTAAATAAAAGGCATAGCTTGTATGTGAATAGGCTCTCGTACTGAGTAACACAATATTGTAGGTCTGAATTAAAAAGGTATTATAGGAGGCAAAAACGAAGTAGTATAGTATGAGATTTTTAGGATGTACAAGGAGAGTGAATTTGAGGGAAAAATTGATAGAAAAATTGTCAGTTTGATAGCTCTACTGCATATTTCAATCTATAACTATGCTTTTGTAGAGGGACAGAATCTATTATACTTCAGCTCAATCCAAAAGGGGCTAAATTCTTCATATGGAACAGACTCTTATCCTTGTGTTTAACATATTTCATAAAGTGTGGAATCTGATTTATATCACAACACTCAATTTTCAAAATCTTTTAAAATTGTCTTATGTTTGTATGTTACAGGTTAAAAGTGTGTGGTGAATCACTAATTATCCACATAATCTGTAAAGCCCACCCCACATTAAACGATCGTCCTGCGATCCAATTTTTCAAAGAAATAGAAAGTCTTAACAATTTTTATTTTCATGGTTTCTATATAATGAAAAGAATACTAACAACCAGAATTTTGTTGCATTTAACTATTCTAGTCAGAATAAGAGCCAAAACATTACTTTGATTTTGAGCAAATTTAGCTTTTTCTTCTCCCAAGGAAGCTTGAATATTCCTTGCAATTATTCATATGACTATTCAGATCCTTGGTCACTAAAGTTTTAAAAGTTTAGCTCCTATCAAATGCTGTTGCAAATACTTCCAGAATTGGAATCGTAGCCAGTTTGTATCGTGTGTGCGGCGGGCTTATTAGAGATTCTCCATTACACATCTCATTATGATGTCATCCATCTTGCCTTTAATACAGTGAGTCTGACCAACATAGTAAGCTTTGTCCAGCGAGAGGCCCACCTAGCTGCCCATATGATGACCACTCCTCAGGGCGCCTTGGACGTTGCCTTTGACTTCAAGACCACGGTAGACCCATCAGATCCCAGCGATCCAGCCACTGCTGCCGTCTTCGTTGCAGCTGATGCCGAGAAAGAAGGATTAATCGAGGTAAGCAACTGCACTTTTGTATGTGTGTAATTACCATTGTATTTTCTTTTGGGGTCTCTCTTCATTTTCTTTTTTTTTCTTTTTTAATGTTTAGGATCATCTACCTATAGGTTTCTGTAACATGTTGTTGATCCAACCGATTTGTAGTTTCCCTTAGTATACTTTCAGTTTTATTATCGTATCCATATTAGTAAGACATAATTTATTGCATTCTCTGACTTTGCATGTTTTTACGAAACCTTTCCTGCATCAATTGAACTGGCTACCCATCAGGTCCCGGATTCAATACAAAATACTTCTTCTCACCTTCAAATGCATCCAAGGTCTTGCTCCTCCCTACCTAACTGAACTTATAACTATCAGGCAACATCCTGCTTCTCCCTTCACTCCTCTCAAGGCATCACGCTGAACCACCATCTTCCAAGATGCTACCCACACTTGGTGATAAAGCCTTCACAACTGCTGCTCTTAATCTGTGGAATAACCTACAGATATCTCTTCGTTACCAACAATCTGTCAATACCTTCAAAAATTATCTCAAAACTCTCCTTTTCACATTTGAACATGTATATGGAAAATGCACTACCGGTGTATAAATACATTATTATTATTATTATGAATTCAATTCAAGCAGTGTCATCTCGGAAGATAGCAATGTTACATTGGTGTTATCAAATACCTATTCTGTGCTGTTTCAGGTGAAGTTGGTGAATGACCGAACGATACAGGTCCAGTTTGATTACGGTGCGGACATGATGACCATCAGCGTGACCGTACCAGACCCCCTCAACGATGACGCCTGGCATTCCGTCCAAGCAAACTTTGACCGCAAGGAGGTGTGGCTGAGGGTGGACAGAGAACCAGTGGAGAAGATGGTCTTAGATCGGCCAGAGCTTACATTGGCGCTGACCGGGCCAATCTATATAGGTACGTAGTGTCCGTCTTTAAAGTACTTTACAAAGTGCACAGTCAGGAGTGAAAGTTTTATGAATGGTTTAACTGAAGGTGTTTCTAGTACATACTCCCACAAATAATCACTCAAATATTAACTTGAAAGACTAACTAAATTTCCAAACTTTTCCCCCCAGTTTTGATTCCTAAGATATTAAGAATATATTAATTCTTTTTATAGTATAGCATACAGGCAGAGAAACGACAGATAATCACAGGACAATTGTAGCTCAGCACCTATTTTTCAAGCGATCTTTTCATTAGAACTCAATATATATTTCAATATATATATATATACATATATATTGCAGATTGCCATTCTCTCCATAGCCAGAAATTATTTTCTAATGCATGAAATTTTTTAAAGGATTCAATGTTTGTTTTAGATCATGGCTAAGGGGGAATAGTGTATTCAAATTAGAAATGGTAATTTATACTCTAACCTAAAACACAGGTTCATCAACGGTCCAATCGGATGGCTTTGTTGGATGCTTGCGTAAGATGAGGGTGAATGGAGAGCTTGTTGACATGGCAGCGATGGCAGAGACTGCTAAAGATGTTCATGCAGGCTGCGTCGGGCAATGCTCAACGGAACCGTGCTTGAATGGAGGCATGTGTATAGAGAAATACGACACCGTAGAATGCCAGTGTGATGATACAGCCTTCGGGGGATCCTACTGCTCTGTGGGTGAGTAAGAAACATTATTTCAAGACAGTAAAAAGACAATACAAAGTTATTTTATTCTGATGGCTGTGTCTGTATAGGGTATTAATGTTTATATTGTAGAGGTGTCGTGGGTCAAGTGGATATGTCACCGGACTGTAGATCACAAGGTCCGCGGTTCAAGTCCCGCTGCAGCAATAATGTCCTTTGGCAAGACATTGATCTACATTTGCCTCTCAGGTGTTAAATGGGTACCCGGTAGGAGCAGAGGTTGATGTGGTTAGATGAGCAAGTGTGCGCTTGTAAAAGAAGTTTTTGTAGGGACTGTAGATTGATATGATAAGACAAACACGACAAACACTAAACAAAGATCGAAGATAGATGTATCTATTCTTGGTTAGCCTTGAGGTGGAATGTGATAGCCAGAAGAAGATATGCAGACAGAAAGATTTTTTACTTTTTTTAAGCACTTCATGATCACTAATACAGAAAACATGTTCTTTACACCTATGTTGTTTTTACTCTTTCCTTGCGTACAGAGGTTGGAGCAGAGATGTCGAGCGGAGCCCGCATTTCCTACTCGTTACCAGATGAACTGAAGTATACCAAAGACATGGACACCATCATCCTTGCCTTCAAGACCAGCCAACCTCAAGGGCAGCTCTTCAGGGTAGAGAACGCTGATGATGGCAGCCATATTGATCTAGTGCTAGATGGATCAGGTACTAACATGTTTTTTTACTCCTTTTCACATGACACATTTTTTGAAGAAAAAAGAAGTACTGGATTGGATCATAGTTTCCTTATATTAGGCATCTCCTAGAACAGCAAGGTGAAAATGCTTAGTATACCATATTCTCCCTGCAATCTCTGTGTATTGGGAGTCTTTTCACCTACAGTGTTGTTGGTTTCATTGTAAGGAAGTATAGCTGTCAAGATCAAAGTATATTTCATGAAGCTTTGCTCAAGAACCAAATTACACTCCTTGAGAAATTGTGACACCATACAAAAGCGTGTTAATTTTTTTTGCTTGTAGGATCCAGAATTTTTACAAAATACAACATGTGCGTGGGTTTATTATTTTGAATACATTACTTTATGACCCCTTGAAATTTCTTCAAGCCTATTTTATGTTTAATTACTGTGTCCCCTTTATATGCATTGTAATATGTCTTTCTAAAATGAATTCTTATCTTACAGGGTATGCTGTGTTAAAAGTAAGACTTGACAGTGAAAATGAAGAGACACTTACAGAGATGAAAAACTTTGCCGACAACAAGAACCATTTTGTTACAATCACAAGGAACATGAAAGAAATACGCTTTCAGGTGAGTTAAGAAATACTACATGTAGCCGCAAAGCATACTCATGTTGTAAAGGTTACTATTATTAAAAGCGACATTGCATTGCTATGTCAGATAGACCTGATTTATCAGTTTAATACATCATCAGTAATTGTTCTTGAGATGGCTGCATTTCTGTACTTGGTTTCATGTATATGAGCATTCTTTGAGCCTGTATCATACATAATTTGTGAAGACAAATATTTGAATAGGGTGGCCATAAACGATACCAGTGTGAAAGAATAACAATATAGAAATCAAGTATGTTCAATTAAAACAAGTTCTAGTGTATATTCTTGTTTAAAATGTATATTTGATATTTTGTTCTGGTTAGTTCATATTTGCAGGTTGATGATTATTTTAGTTATGATTATAACACTATAGATATCAAGTATGTTAAATTATCAAAATGTTCTAGTGTATATTCTTGTTAAAATATACATATTTATCAGTTTGTTGTGGGTTGACCATACTCCCAGGTTGATGATTATGTAGGTTATGATGATTATAATAATAAAGATATCAAGTATGTTCAATTTAAAAAAGTTCTAGTGTACATTCTTGTTAAAGTGTATACATTTATCCATTTGTTCTGGTTTGATCATATTCCCAGGTTGATGATTATATTCCTCTTAAAACGGAAGGCCAGGCCTTTACAACTACAGCATTCACTCCAGCTGATATCTTCATTGGAAACTCTGGTAAGTACAACAAACATTCTCCAGTCCTGATAATAATCTGTTATCAAAGATGGGCTTTGACGAGAAAGGACGGAGAACTTGCATCTGTGACTGTTTGTAATATACTGTATCTTGTGTACGTTTGTATCGAATTTCATTGAGATTAGGAACAACTCAGAAAAGCTAGCTGTCATGAAAAGACATTGCTCTTATGACATTCTATTGAAAACCTATAAGGATGATACATTCAAAGTTTTTACCTTAGGTAGTCGCACCAACAAGACCAACGCCAGGGGCCTGTTTCATCAAACTTGTTATCAATAACAAATCATGGTAACTGTTATAAGCTAATGAAATCGTGACATTTGATTGGTTGAGAGCAAATTTGTCATAGAAATTTAGCATTTGTTATTGATGACAAGTTTTATGAAACAGGGCCCAGAGCAACAATAGGCTGAACTTACCATGAATAACCCCGAAAAATTAATCGGTTTAAAGACTGTCTGGAATCGGTTTACGGTATGCCCATACATTATAGCGAGAAACTTTACTCATCTGCCAGTCTGCACATGCTCAAAGCCACACACATTCAGTTGACCGACCCTCTTCTATGCAAACAGAAATTGTGTTTGTTCGGATGCTCGTATTATTTTAGCGATTATCCCGGTATAACCATACATTATTCATCAACTTTGTGCGTCTTTCTTTCAGGTACCAATGGGAATAGCTTCATCGGTTGCATATCTCGAGTTCAGTTCAACGGCGTCGACCCCCTCAAGCTGTACTTTGGTGCCACCCGTCCTCAGGGCGTGGCAGGGTCAGGGTTCATCAGCCAGTCGAGGTGCGGTATCGAGGAGCAGATACCCATGTTCCTACCCACCGAGGAGTACCCACCGACGGAACCACCCATGGTCACCCAGTTTATACCTTCAGCTGCACCCGTCAGCTCAGATCTGGCTCCGGGAGATAAAGCCGCTATCGCAAGTAAGAACCTGGGATTGTATTCAATTCAGTATGCGGATTAAGTTAGTATTTTACTTGGAATTTTACTTGGCTGAGTAATATGTCTTAATTCTTGTTCAGATCTTATCTGAGCATTTTACAAGCGAGTCACCTTTAAGGCAAAAAGCTTACTGATAAGCATTGTGATGTCACATGGTAAATCCAAAATTATGCACAATAAATGTGTAATTGTGTGCAACTTAAGATAACTGCTTAGTAAAATATAGAACATACATTAATTATTCCAGCTAATCCTCTTGTTATTACTTTCTTTCCAGTTGTGGTGATCCTTCTGCTCCTAGCGCTGTGTCTTCTTCTCTTCCTCATCGGGCGTTACACGTCGCGTCATAAAGGAATGTATTCCACCAACGAAGACAAAGGAGCGAAGAATGCACGCAATGCTGACGATGCTGTAGCGTTACATGGCTCAAAGAGAACTAAGGAGTACTATATGTAGGCTCATCGTTACGGTTCTTTCTGATTTAAAATGTCTGTTCTACATTCGGTCATACTCTTGTAGTTGCATACTTGTAGAAAAATACCATTTCTGTCTTGGTTGTAAGCAATACATTTGTTTCTTTTTCAATTACATACAATAAGAGGATGCCTGTCTTGATTGTCAACGGTAAACGCTTTATTTTCATTCAATATGCAATTGTATCATGTCGAATGGAGATTGAATAATTATGAAGAAGATTGCTATAAACTCTTTATTTTCATTCAATATGCAATTGTATCATGTAGAATTGATATTGAATAATTATGAAGAAGATTGCTATAAACTCTTTATTTTCATTCAATATGCAATTGTATCATGTCGAATTGATATTGAATAATTTTGAAGAAGATTGCTTTGGTTTAGTATTCTCAGGTATTCAATATCAAATTGTTTGCGATCTTGGAACAAAATATTAATATGCCGGGGAAGTTTAAAGGGCATTGATATTGTCAAGTAGAATGGATATTTGATAGGGAGATATGAAAATCATAATGCTGGACATAGTTGTATGTGTTGGCTCCTAAGTAAAGCTTCTCTGAAGAATTTGATTAGTGTAATCTGATAACATCTCAAAAGAGATAGATAAAGTGAAAATGTAGTTTGATGTATTCCACCAAACCCGTGATGTTCCTTTATGAAAATTTGTTGAAATTTAACTGTTTAAAAAAACTAGATGCCAGAAAGTAGCTGCATTTCCATCAAAACAAATTTCTAGAGCAGATTTTACTATTGTAATGCATCACTTTTTGCAAGCCAACATTGTTCAAATTCATTGCAAACTACATGTACTTGTGTGAAATATGCGAAGATACAATAATCTCTTCAAAAGGATGTAAATATTTCTTTTATTTCTTAAGTGGTCTTCACACTTCATATGTTGTTGAGTGCATTATTTTTACAACGAATGATGATTGAACGATGAAAATGTATATCGCACTGAATGTTTGGTGAGTTTTATGACACAGCAATTATGTTTTACTGAACTGCTCAAAATGTCCATGTTTTCAGTTGATACAACGTCAAATCACTAGAAAAGCATAAAATATAGAGATCCTACGCAACAATTTTGTTTGTCAACGTAGCAAGTCCTTTAAGATTAAATCGGCACATCATATATTGCAAATATCTGTCCATCTAGCGAGTACCTCGTCCTACTGTCAGTTAATATTTTTGTGCGAATGGTATTGTTGCCTATTACCGACTCCACCAAAAAGGATACTAAGGTACGTTGATTTTGACTGCAGCTGTTTGATACCAATCAAAGAAATTTGTCAGTACCCACTACCTGATTAATTCACATCATCAAACGAAATGAGGATCATTTGTTGCATGATAAGGCTTCTGTGTATCCTACAATGTATTCAGTCAAAGCCTTAAGGGGCAAATAGTGCAAGATATGTGATTTTTTAGAGACTAAATCTAAGTGTACATAATTCATGAGATTGTAGTGTAAATAGAAGAAGTTTTTGCAAATATTAATACATTTTTACAATCGAAGAGTATTCATGAAATAGGTATTCACGCTATGTAAAATATCTGTATATCTGGTTCAAGCTATTTTAGATAAAATATGCATTTTTGTATGTGAAAGTTTGCGATCTGTATTTATATAAAAAATGAATTTCGTGTAGCTGAATATAAGATATTGAGATGGTTGAGCTGCGATAGTATTCATTCCCGCTCATTAGTTAGTTGAATGAAGCAAGCAGTTTGGCTGAAGTGTGTTCATGGAAAATGAATAAGAGGAATGGCCTTTTTAAAGCTTGCCACTGAGTTGGATGTTATAGCAATGCTTTCCTTTTCGTCATAATCATGCACTGTGGTAAACATACTTTTTGCAAGTGATTATGTTTTCTGTGAGCCTCACATATTAAAAGCATCAATCGTTTCGTCCAATAATTAGTTATTTGAGTAAAAGAGTCATGGTAATTATTGAACAATTTTTAAGAATTCAGGAATTGTATTGGAAGGTGTAACCGTATTCTACACTACATTGCCAAATTTGAACATGCTGTTTGATACAGTAATTGAAACTTTGTACAGTGCTTTTATGAATGTTTTGTCATTGCAGTTATTGAAGAAGAAAACGAGAAATTCAACAGAACTAACAACACCTTGATCAAAATTGAAATGAACTTTTTTATGAACTTCATATTTATGGCCCACTTCTACTTCTTTCAAACAATGAAATTAACCAATTTTTGTCAGCATTAAATTATCCGTAACTGCATGGTTTTATCATTCATCGTCTGATATTGATATAATGTATACGTTACTTTGTTCAACTGATTTCACAAGATTTTTTTAATGTGATAATCATACTAAACCTACAGTGGAAATGAATTACCCTTAAGATGATTTCCTACCAAACTCAAATTTATATCAAAATTTAAATAATCATTTAAATTTAATTTAATTTTAAATCAATCATAATAGTAGTGCTAGATGGTATTGGAATCTGAAATAGTTACCATATTCCCCATTGAACAATTATTGTGAGCTATCGAAAGAACAATTTGGGGGGGTCATGTTGCTGATATATACTTATAGTTTGTTTATTTAATCATTCAATGGGTTTTTTTCTCACAATTTTTGTATTTCGCCAAGGTCACAATCATTTTGCAATGTCAGGAGATTTGTATAACTTTTTTTTCTTCTGTTTGTGGTGTGTAAAAAAGTTTGTGAAGTTTACTCTCTGTTCAGAAATTCTTTAGTATCAAATAATAATAACATTGTGATGCTTACATAAGACATGCCGGGGTACTAAAAGGGACGACCGTTTCTTTGATTAAAAATATCCCTTCCCGCCTCACATTGCATAAAGTTATAAATTGATGAAAGATGGTTCATGTCATAAAAAATATGCTTCTAATTATTCCTAAAATGCTAATTTAAATCCTGAACAACTGCAAAATAGATTGAGGTTATATATGTTGATTAATTTTTTTAAGAAGACTGCGCACAAGGTATAATAATGTGTGCTACTACGTTGTGTGTTTCTGTCATCTTAACCGCTCACCGTTTTTTCCTTTGTTTTCCGCTTTTTTTATATCAATAATAATTTGTTTTCCTATTAATAGACCTCTTGGATAATGCATCCAAAGTTAATGCATACGTCTTTGTGGATGCCTCAATACAAATATTTCATTCACCTGTTATGAATAATTGTATTGAAATAGTCAGAATGCGAAATACATATATTATGTGTTGTTAGGCAGGGCAAGCCATAATGTTTTTCCTACCTAGCAACAATTAATGTATGCAGATTGTGTTCTGACTATTGAAATACAATTATTCGTAACAGATGAATGAAATGACTTGTATCGAGGCTTTTCACAAAGACGTATGCATTATTAGGTGTTCTCTTATCCTATAGAGTTACATGTACTATACCTCCAGAAAAATCCACTGCTTGGAACTTGTAAATTAAACAAATTCAGTAATGGGACGAATCTGGACCACTCACAGAATTCATGAAAGTTTCTCGCAAGCATAAGGGTGTGGGTTCATGGGATAGGTAGGTATAAATGTGTTATTTTATAAGACAGAAATACTGCAATTAAAGAAATGTCTCTTTTGCAATTTGAAACAAAATGTATACAGGGTGAGATATATTACTTGCAATTTTAATATATTCATAGTTAGATATAAGTTTAAAATTACAAGGTAAGATCCACTTAGTCTACTTGTAATTGGCCTTCATGGTCGTTTTGTTATTTTAATGAATATGTCACTTCACGATAGCCTTATCTCTATGTATTCACAAGTTCACCAAAATGTTTTATTTGTATATTTGGCATTGAAATGTGTGTTTGTCTGTATATAATTTTGTCAGAGGTTGATGAGTTTATAACCCCGTAGAGTTTTACCTCAGTGATATTGTGAGTCGGATGTTTAGATAGATTTCATCATGGGTTATATTTATTGTATATTTTTGAAGAAAAAGAAGACATAGTTCTGCACTCAAGAGGTTGATACAATACTTTCAGAAAAAAGCAGATATTAAAGTGTTTTACTTAGCTTGTTTCAGACTTCCTACAAGATGAATTTGCTGTTTTCTCTACTGCCTAGGTTTACAAAGTAATACAAGATCTGCATATAGTGTTTAAAGGTTGTTGAAAAGAAATAGTTTTTGTTGTAAAGAGTTGCACAGAAAAAATATCAAATTCAATATGTTATGCAAAACTATGTTTAACTTTAAAATTTCTCCATTCATTGTGTAAGTTGTACATGTATGTATGTTTACTTTAATAATGCTATTTATATGTGTTTTGCAGTGCCTATGGTTTTAAAAATGGGCACAGACCAAACTAATAAATGAGGGATAGAAGGAGAAATAATGTTCATATCACAACTACTTGCAGGTTGTCTGAGTCTCTTTTTTGTGCTTTGTCAAGGTTTGGTTTGGGTGGTGATGATAAGGATAGAGAGAATAGGTAATTAGACAGAAAGAGCAGGGACAGGTACAGAGAGACAGAGAGAGAGAGGAGAGAGAGAGAGAGAGAGAGAGAGAGAGAGAGAGAGAGAGAGAGAGATACAGAGAGAGAAGATGAGAGAAAGGATGTTAATAGAGTTAATAGAGAGATGGAGAGGGAAGGGCAGAGAGCTCCAGGGTACAGACCAAGGGAGGCAGCTGATTATAGATGTGTATCCTTGGAAGGGGATTTATTTTAGAAGAAAATAATAATACAAGAAAATGAAGGAAGAAAACATGTAATGTACTGTACTGCAGAAAGACCTACCTGTATATGGCTCAGTTATATCTGTAGTCAAACATTGTGTTATGGTTAATAGGGTACTGAGCATGCAACCCTGAACGACGGAATAATATACCCCATAAAGTAAAACAAGCTGATACAGTTCAATAATTCAAACTGCTCTACATATTTATTTCATTACTTGATATTCCGAATTGGTAGTAAATAACGCTTTCCTGCAACTTTTCTATTTTTTGCTTCTTGCTTCCCTTTTCCTAAGGGCGTTGAGACCTTTAAAGGTAATAACTATGTGAGTCTTTGTGAGAACTGTTTTATTATGATTGTTATCATTACTATTATGATTTATTATTATAATTATTATCAAATTTTTAAGAGTAGCATGAATCCTATATTTATAAATCCTAGGATCTAATTCGTTTCCAAAGTTACTATTAACAATCAAAATACCCCTTATAGGAATAAAGCAGTAGTAGAATAAATGTAGAATGTAAGTAGGCCTAGAAGGACGAGTGTGTATGTGTGATGGGGGTGGGGGGGGGGTAAGGATGAACCGACACAGACAGGCAGACTCCACCCCCCCCCCCCCCCCCCTTCTCCTCCTCTCCACGTGTGCTAAAAGAATGGATCGAGGACTGCAGCAAGGGGGATTCCCCTGAACCCTGAAACCCCCTTTCCGAAATGCGTCGCTCATTATTTTTTACAGCCCTTAAAATTCAAACTTCTAATCAAATTTAGTAATTTAAGCTTTCATGAACTTAACTTGCTAAAATGTCTTATTTACTGCCTACCATATTATGTGTAAGGTATAGCAATACAGCACTGAATATATGATATGATATTATGTGTAATCTTTTCAACGTGAATTTGCAGAAAAGTCTGAATTAGAGAAAAGTTCACTTTCGCGGCGTCACCTCGAATAGCAACCCGTACCCGGAAGTTTCTCTACGTAATGCGTGTAATAAGCACCGTGGCCGTGTAATATACAAATTCCGTTCCGGAACAATATAATTTTTTTACAACTGGAGCGTGACCTCGTCAAATATTATCTCACGATGAATTTCAATGATTTAACGGTGAAGCTACATTTGCCAGGTGACTCAGAGAGAGATTGTGGTGCAGTGGTTCTCAGTAAAAGACCAGCTGCAGACAGCAGCAACCGCGACAGTCAGGTTTGCGACAAATCCCTCTCGTGCGCGCCAGCAGTTTCGGCGCTGGAAAAGGCAACAACTACCCTCGAAGACGGTAATAGTGGGTGCTTGGAATTAATGGCGGCAGAAATACCTGAGAAAGAACCGAAAGATGAGAACATTAATAAGATCGAGCGCAGCATGCCTGCGACTGGAATCGGATGGAGAACAACAAACATTCTCTCTCAGTACCTTCGCCCTCCAAGACCTGGATCATGCGACTGGAGGGATATGGCCGAAGAAATGGGATTCAGTTATCAACTTCATATTCAGAACTTTGCTCTTGAATCCGATCCAGTAGCCAAAGTTTTATCTGCCTGGTGCACCAAACCCGGGAGTAATGTTGGAAAGCTCCTTGATATCATAGAGAAGATTGAAAGACATGATGTCTTGCATGAACTGCCTGCATTTCTTGGTGAGAAAATGGAAAAGTGGTATAGATTAATAGATCTATCGACGGTAGACCTATAATAAATATATCACTACACCTTTTTGTGTATTTAGTAACTACTTGTAGTTGTAATTCTTAATTGTCTCTTCAACTCTGTTTCTTACCTTGGTCACACTGCTTTCTTATTCGGTATGATGCTGCATGATTGTATTCAGAAGGAAAGAATTTACAATATAAATATAAGATTGTTATATTTATTTTGTGACTGAAAACAATAAATCATAAATATAATATAATCGTATGGAGACTTTTTTAATGAGGAGATCTACTACCCTAGAGACCATTCAGTATTATACCTTCCTCAAGTAAATATCTGATATACCTGTATGTATTGCCCTTTTTTTTTGTTCTTTTTTTTTTAAATACTGGGTCGACTGTCTTGTCTTCTATTTCACTTTATTCACCATTTTCTTTTTTCTCCACTTTTTTCTTTTTTTACGGGGGGGGGGGGGGGGGGGGGGGGGAGATATTTAGATGCATGAAGTTCAGTTGTACTGCAAAAGATTGTATAATATTAAAGACCGTACTCATTAGTTCAAAAGCAATTATGAAATTTACCTGTACTGCATTATGACTAATGAAACTGCATATCACTAATTACAGAGTAACACAACATTCTGAAGACATTAAGTTAGGTTCTTTTCACACGGCGCGTTGATCATCACCAAAAGAAAATAACATAACAGTGTTAAATTTGATAATATGCAGTAAAACTTTTGGTGTTTGAAAATCCCAGACAAGAACTGAATTTATTGTCACTTGGCTTTAAAAAAAAACCTTTTTATTAATCATATTTGCCAAAAATAGAAG